CTAAACCGATTACAATACCAACTATCTTCAAAAAAACGGTCGGAGTTTGTATTTATGACTTATCTTTGTGATTGGCACGCCGACAGCCCAAAAAATAATGGTAAAAATGATGGTGAGAAGAAAACGCTCACTTTTACGTTTTATGTTGATAATGCTCGAAATGATTCTGAGGACAGGCGAGTCTTAATCCTCAGCTAACGGTTTTTGTTTGGTAACCTGGAAACAACTATTAAGGTATTGTAGAAGAAATGATAAATTGGAATTGGAAAGAGAGAAAAAGGTGTGCCTGTCTTATTGTATGCTTTACTGAATATGCTAATAACTACTGGGTCGAGCAATAAAGAAATGATAGACACACAATGGTAAACCATGCCAACGTACTTATGCTAATCTGCTATATTCCACAGGCACCGCGAGCTGGAGATAGACTCGAAGTAGGGGGGTGGAGTGCGATTGGAGAGAGTTGTGTTGCTCTAGTTTATGCGTTTTGCAAGAGTAATTCGGTTATTATTTCATATGTGTCTCCGACAAGTACGAACGCGTAACGTTTATGAACCTCCTGTAGTCATATTATAGTACACCACATGTTTATAACGCGTTTGCGCAAACCTGCGGAATATGTCTTTTCAAGCCATAGCTAACCTAATTTTTGAAAAATTTAACTTATTTTAGATTTATGGGAGTATTTCGTGGTGTTCTTTGATGTTATTTGGCTAAAACTCGAGAATTCTTATAATAGTTCTTTGTGATGTCACAATTGAGAACTCAATTAATAAGGAACCTAGTACATTTAGAAGGCAGTAAAATTAAAGAGTCGTTAGTACAAAGAAAAAATCCCCAAGGAAAGTTTTATTTTTCAATGTTGTTATCATTGCAAACAATCGAGGAACAATTAGGAAAAAGCCGGTTCCATCCATTTAGAGTTAAAAATCACAAAAATTGTTTGTGACGAAAGTAGCTACCAAGTGTTTCATTATTCAATTGCGAGTGTCTCATTTTTCTTCTTGATTGAGTTCCTCGTATATCAACGACTTTCTAGTCTTCTTTCTGTTTTTCACTTTGCTACTAGCTACATTAACGGATCTAGCGACATAAACAAAGAAATTTAATGGATTATGTGCTAATTCATGGCACCAAATATGAGAAAGTGGGAGATGTGTATTAGGCTAGATTTCAATTACGGCTTTCACATTGATGCAATAAAGGTAGATTCAAATGTAGTGTCCCATACATGATTCGCCAATTATACAAAGCTTGATTAAAAATTTACATGAACAAGGTGTTACTTTGTCTTACAATAAACAATCAATTTTTGAAGTGTACAGGGGCTGCAGAACAACAAAAGAGCAAAGGGGACAGGGCAGGGTAAAAGGGTAATTGATTGAGCTTCCTCTTTTGAAACTGTCATTTTATTTCTATTTTCTGCGAACAAAATGAAATTGGGCTAACAGCTTTGATAGGACTTTGTTAAAAAGTTTTGAGATATTTCATGTGAATAAGGCACTACAGTCAGGATTTCATGCGAGTCATTTTGATGATTACAATAGCCACTTTTATGGAGAGAGGGGGCTTTGAACCCCTTACTTTTCTTATCAAAGGGCAAGAGGAGCGATTGCCCCCCCCCACACACCCTTCTGTGGAAGAAGACCATTGTTTCTTTTTCTCAACTGTAACGAATGATGTATCTTGTCACGTGATAAAGAATCTGCCACTTTCATTTTAACAAATGTATTACGTTGAGTGTTTTATGAAATGGTCAGTCTCTTGAATATCGGAATGAAGTGAGGTCTGTTATTTTGTCTCTCTCCTTGCTTAACCTAAACGCAACCGTTACACAACCATTTCAAAAACGGTCGGAGTTGTATTTAGGACTATCTTTGCGATTGGCACGCCGACAGCCCAAAAATAAATGGTAAAAATGATGTGAGAGAACGCCACTTTTAGTTTTATTTATAATTGTCGAATATTCTGAGGACCATCTTATCCTCAGCTAACGGTTTTTGTTTGGTAACCTGGAACAAATATAAAAGAATGTAGAAGAAATGATAAATTGAATTGGAAGAGGAAAGAGGTGGCCTGTCTTCTTGTATGCTTTACTGAATAGCAAAATATCATAAGAAAGTACAAAGTGGCAATCTACTGCTATTTCCACAGGCACCGCCGAGCTGGAGATAGATGGGTGGGGGGAGGGGGTTGGGTGTTGCTTTAGCGTTTTTTATTCGGTTTTAGGCCCCCTCCCGCCTTTTTTTGACCCTTTAACGCTCTGCGGTGCCTGCATTTCCATACCTTCAGCCGTGTAGAAAGTGTAACCGATCAGAAATCCACGGTTAGCCGAATGCGCGTTGCTTTTCTCCAGGATATAAACAAACTTCTTCTTTCCGATATATATGTTATTTGATTGTCTTTTGCAGAGTATGTTACTTATTGACGAGGCATAGCTCTCAATAGTCGAATACGCTGTGTACTCTTCATCAGATTCTAAAGGGAAAAATGATAGATTGTCATTAAACAAAAAGCTGATTTATTTTTCCTATTACATCGCTGTTCGATCGTTTAAAGAATGTTTGGGATTGATTAAGCTCTGATCATTTTTCATAACGGATTACAATTAAATGTTGGTTTCTAATCAAGGGCCAGATGGAAGTAAACCTTGGCCAATTCAGCGCTAGCTTGCACAACGTGGACTGCAAGGGCCCTTAAACAACGTGGACGTACATCCAGGTCGTTTGTATCCCCTGTTTTCTTCTTTCTTTATTTGAAGTTGGTACAATTTCTAGCTGTGCATACTCAAGCTAATTAAAAACAATCAATTTAAATTACCGACGTTAATCATAATGTAAATTAAATATAACCGCTGTTGCATACATATTTCTTGCAAAGATTACAAGTACAGTTGAACGATGTAAACTCTGGGATTTTTTTGAATATTTGTAAAGTAGGGTAGTACTTTATCTCGTTTGGAATCGAGTTCCATATTTGGCTACATCTGTATGATACAGTATTAAATCCATATATTTTTGTAATGTGGCGCCACTATTTTGAATTGGGAGCCTCTTACTGGTTTTGAATTGAAGTAATATGGGCATTCATTTATGGAAAATATTTCATCCATAAAAGGTGGACTGAAACCGTTAAATGTTTTGTAAATTTTTCTTACGAGAAGTTATTGTTTTATTCTTTATCAAAAGTTGTTCAAAAGTTTATTCATAATCATCATGAGTTATTCTCATTGCTGTTTATATAAAATATGATAATATGAACGTTTTCATTAAAAGAATTCGCTTAGATTCGTCCACATATGCTTTGTCGCTGAAGCCAAAAGATTTCACTTTGGCTAGAAGAGATATATGGGGTAAACAATTAAATGCTTTTGATATGGGGTAAACAATTAAGCATTGCACCAGCCACATCTTTTTTAACCAGACACATTCTCAGGCTTTCAATAACTCATAATAAAGCGTGTTGTGTGCTATAATTTTTCTTAAATCCATTTTTTAAAAGCAAAGGGAGCAGTTTAACACTGATACAATTGCAGACTTGATTGAACATTAATCCCTCAAATATCTTTGAAGCTAAGGGAGTACACTTATTGGTCAATAATTCTCTTTACTAGTTGAATCTCTTTTTTGAAAATAGGGCACACATTAGCTATTTTCATAAGAAAGGGAAAGAAATAGATCGATTGAATATTTCAGCTAGTGGTCCAGAGACAACGTCTATTGCCATTCTAAAAACCCTTTTTAGGGTTGTTTTTGGCTTTTGTTGATTTGTCTTCCTCTAGGTTGTAAATTATAATCTAGAATCCGAAATTGGTGATAAGGATAAAGAAAGCAGCATTTGATATTTATGTGAGCTTTGTCAGAGAAAAGGTGTTGAGAATATGCTGCGACCTACCTCGTATCTGTATGTACTGCATTACTGCTGTACAATGGCTCGAGCCTGAGGATGAAGCATCACTTAAATCAAGATCCATGATAGAAATCCTCAGATTTTGATCCTCTGGCAGTTTAATCAGCCGGAAACAGAATATGGTATCACTTTGTCCCCTTGGCCATTTGTCTGTATAGTATAATGAAGAGCTTTCCTGTCTGAATCTGTTATAAAAATGCAAGAATGATTTGTATTAAAACCAAAACAATTCCTAGAGAGACATAAGCTGAAGAAGAAACTTTCGAGGCTCTCAGAATAATAAAGCAATAAAGTTAAGACGACCCAAATTTTTATTTCAGAACCTATTTTAGCTTTTTTCTCATAGCCTGTAAAAACAGCATGAAATACCTTCAAATATGCAAAATCAAAAGGGGATTCGAATCTACAAGGGCAAAAATGCATCTTATTTGTCTCAAGAGTTTTGTCTAGGATTGTAGGTGAGAAGTGGATGCTGATTGTCTAAAAACAAAGAAAGCCGACCAACACGTCTCGCGTTACTTTCTATACACACCAAGTCATTGTCCGGTTTTCTTTTACTTTCGGTCATTGTCCGGCCTTTGCATAAATGTTCTGCTTATTTTCGGTCATTATCCAGCGTTTGCATAAATGTTCTTTTTACTTTCGGACATTATCTGGCTTTACACTCTGACATGGGTCAAACATGAAGTACTTCAGTATACTTTCTTGAAGCTACAATCTTTAAATTTTGCATTACAAAAATCTCATTTGATGCCTTTCATTAAAGTAAATAGAGTTCACAAAAAGCTCCATAAAATACCTCTCAAAGTCAGGTCATGAATTGCCCTAAATTAAAAGAAAATATATATTTGTTTGATGAGAATTCACAGATGGAAAACTCAAGTCTAAGAAAGCACGCAAAAGTACAAATTGCAAGGATTTTTGAGGTTACAAAAAGTTACCTCGTTTTGATAAAGATTTGGGATAATCACTGTTTTGGTCATGAAAAGCATTTTGAAAATTCAGTGTTTCATGAGTTTTGCTTAAAAAACATTTGAACTTACATGCATCCTTCCGGTTTTCTCAGTGCTTGGGTATCTTTTCTCTGCAGTCTGTATGATAATGAAAATCCATTTCCTGTGTCTTTTTTGTCACTGCTAAATATCAATTCTGCAAAGCCATCGTGTGAGTACATTGTGAAAGGACTGACTTTCATGTTACTGGAACAAAACTTACCAATATTCTGCTCGGACCTAAAATGTCATTAAAGCATTTGAAAAGGCAGGGCCACTAATCTCTAGAAATGTTTACATTTTTGAATTACCAGGCATTAATTTGAGGAAAAAGTATTTGAAATAATTCCCCAAAATGTATAAGAGAATTTATTAAGTGGTTAGCTCTTCGAGTTGAAACAGCAGGATTGCGTTAAACTGAAAATGTTTTTCTGATCCTCTTAAAAACGTCCTATACCTTGAACAATATTTTGAATATAGATGGACATTTTGGTATACATCTATTGCAATGTTTCCGTTCCTTTCATTTGTTGTTACGTTCTAGTCGGGGTCCAGCAGTGTATGGGCAAGGAAGAAGTAGAATTGAGTAAGAAGGATGATGAGTGTTCCTACATTTTGGTTGGGGATTGTAGTTAACTGAGAAAAAGTTACAACAAAAAGGTACAGCAAAACATCTACAATTTGCTAGTCCTCTACAATGAGGTAAACATAACTTTGGAAAAGCAGGCCACCATACATAAACCGTACAATTGACAGTTACTCATCTTAGACTTACATGTTACAGGGGTTGAAGTATTGTGGCTGAGGTAAAGTAAGGCCTATTAGTGTATTCGTCATTTGTTTGTTTTGGTTATAATTGCTTAATATATTTCTGAAATAACCCAATATGAATCTATTAGTCTGTCAAACGATTCCTACATTGAGTATTAGACTACTCATCCTAGACTAAATACTCAGTGTAGTGTAGAGACTCCATCTCCGGTTTTGTGTTTACTACGGCCCAGACCCCTTGGGTCCAGAACTTCGAACGCGACCTTCAATAAACAATACTAAGTTCCGAGCCTACTTGGAACACTATACTCACCTCCATAAAAACCCGGAATACACTCCCTTGTACAGGACATTCAACACAATTGCAAAATAAAAGCAAGAAAGCAAATTAAAGACAGTAAAGCGTGAAAAATAGATAATCAGAAATCAAGCGATGTTTGTGAAGAAAGCTCAAGTGAAATGAAAACTTTGGAAATTACGTTTGGAAAAATGCAATAAAAAGATCGCATGGCAATATAGAGATAATTCTTTGTTTGGCTTCAGGGTTTTCCCAATGAGGAAAAAATGACTAAGAATATGGTTATGCAAGCATGGCTGAGTAGCTTGAAATAAGACGAGTTTAACAGTCTTGATTAGAGTGTGGTTTCCTACAGAACTTCATTGGTACCGTACTAGTAAGATCACAGTTTGCCACAAGCATGTCAGATTGCTATAAGATATTTTTAAACTTACTTTGTGATAGATATATTGCAGTAAAAGTTCACATTTCCAGGAAATCTAAAGAACATTTGGTAGAAGATGTCAGGCATTTAGAGTTGCAGCCTAGGTCCATGCTGTCCTGTACATGAGAATATTTACATCTCGGGCACTATCTTGCCTTTTGAATCAACAGTTGAACTTGGCTCAAGTCAAACATATGGATTTAATTCCGTAACCCATGGAAAGCTCGTAATAAACAATACAGACCTAACAATGCAGAACACATATTGTAATCTTTTTTGAATGGCGTGCATTTGTCATTTTTCTGAAAGAAGATTATAAAAAGTGTTATGTTCCTTGCCTGGTTAGATGTACCTCGACAAAATCCTCCCTACAATCTGGCATTTGCCCTTTGATGTCAAACCGAATCCATTTTATCTCCAAGAAGAACTCACTGCTGTTAAGGTTATTAGACGGCGCAATTTGAATTCGGCAATACTCGTTGTTTGTGTAAGACTGGTAAGAAAATAACTGTGAGGTCGTTGTCGCATTTAGATACTGGTTGCTGCAAAGTGCGTACGCGTGTTGGAACAGCAAAGCAGCTGTTAAACATAGGCCTACAGCTCCCATTTTGATTTGAATCCAAGTTGCCTTAAAGTGTGTGCAGTACCATAAACCCAGACATAGCTATAATAATTGCGGGTAGATTGATGTAACGCATGCATGAATAATTATCCGTAGGCCATTACAAATCGAAACTACGTATTAAAGTTAATATCAATGAGAAATTGTAATTGGTCGACCCGGGACAAAAGCATGACAATTGACAATACGCTTCTTTACTAGTAGTTTTATCGAGCAGCCAAATATTTCGGTTACATTGAGACAACTAAAGACTATCAGTGAATTTGCTTCAGAAGCGTTGAAATTTATAGGCTTTTGGTCTGATGGATTTCATGCATAAACAAAGGTTATCAGTTCTAGATCTTTAACATTAACATGCCCGTATTTTTGGGGAAAATGTATTGGCTGATTCTTAAACAAAGTTCTATTCAACTTTGTGCCAGAGCCACAAAAATTTGATAACAACACCCTGGAGTCAAAAAGTCGCCAAATATCACTATTCGGCGATATCTGGAATTTGCTATTTTGTCATTTTTGAAAAAATTCTTACATTAATACTTCGATCATTTGGTGCCTTGTTTCCAATAGCACACCTTTTCAAAGAAAGCAAAGTAAAATTGATATGGAGGATACAAATAAATTGTCAGAGAATCCAGATTTTAACGCAAAATGCCTAAACTCTGTTTAGTATTTAGAGAGCCTTCTGTTAAAAAGCATCCAGAAATAATGAGAAAAGGGGAAAAAAGGAAGAGTTAGGTATGAAGCAATGTACAATACTGCGTAAGGCCCTAATCTGCATCGAGCCTATCAAATACATTTGCTAAAGCAGCAAGTGCTGACGGGTCTTCCTCAAAACTAAAGACGAACAATATTGGTTAGCAAAACTCAAGGGGCTATAGCCTCTCTCAATTGAAAATGAAATTGAGGCAAAAAATAAAAATAAAAAGAAAAATGTTTACAGCTTGCCTCGTAGGACGTTAGAGACTTTTTGCAAAAATAGACTATGCAAAAATGTGAGAAAACAGGCTAAAATTGAAATAGTTAAAAAAGAGATTGAAGTAAGGGATATCTCATCAAGTATTTGTTAAATTTCTCCTGAATGTAAAGAGGCTTTTACTTATTCCTTTTGGCTTATTGTATTATAATGATATGGTTTGAGACTTTGTTGTTACCTTTAACCAAATTTTTTTATCATTTCGTAGTATTTCGTTTCGTTTCGTTTCGTTCCGTTTCGTTTCGTTTCGTTTCGTTTCGTTTCGTTTCGTTTCGTTTCGTTTCGTTTCGTTTCGTTTCGTTTCGTTTCGTTTCGTTTCGTTTCGTTTCGTTTCGTTTCGTTTCGTTTCGTTTCGTTTCGTTTCGTTTCGTTTCGGTTCGCTTGATATGATAAGCCTTCCTTTGAACCCTGCTAGTTATATCGTATGATAGCCCATTTGATGGTTTTAGATGGTTTGAAAATTTGAAATTTAATGCCATGTATGATAAAACGGCTCCAAAATTCTCAAAGAAAGTTCATTTTGAGCTAACTCATTATTTTAAGTTAACGTCAAGTTTGTGGAAGGTTTAGCCAAGGAGAAGGGAAGTCAGGGGAAGGTTCAACTCTTGGTAGACGATGAAAGTCATCACATCACATTTTAGGAATAGTTCAAACTAACTTGAGCCACACCATTTACCATGAGCCACACCATTTGTCGTGTAACAGTCGGCAAATTTCACACTGTTGCCCCTCCTGAAATTTTACGAATAATCGCCACTGCGGCTTAGGGCCAAATCAATGAAAATGTAGGAAATCCCGAGAAACTCAGACAAAAATCGGCATTCAGCAAAGCCAATGGCGAACCATCTTTGCAGAAAAAGGACCCCATTTTGAGAATGTGGCCCTACGATGTCCCATTACGAATGATAAACGTCATCGATTACATCAAAATTGAATATAGCGTGATAGTATGTGGTTGTAAAAAAGATTGGGTCGAAAAAAGTATTACTTGTGTAGATTAAGGGAGGTTAATATAGACAGGGAATTTTTCCTAACAAACTGGCGGAGAGGGTAACCGGAGGTTTTTCACTTGTTTTCATTTCTTTGGGCTAGTACCTTAAATTTTGAAGGGTGTACAAAAAAATTTCAAAAAAATGATTTTCGAAATGATAAACCTAAAATATCATTGTGTGAAAAATATCATATGTAAGCACGTATTAAATTTGAAATACAGACAGGAAACTAATTTAGCAGATGATTACCTATTTTTCTTCCTTTTAAGCTTTAATTATTTGTGATAAAAGATTTTTGAGCAAAAACAAGTGAAGGAAGGCCCCACGCCCAGTGGCGTCACGTGAAATTTCTCGCTGGGGGAGGGGGGGGGGGGAGGCGGAGGGACGGTGTAAAAGATGAAAACCATTTTTTACCGAGAGAATTTTTTTTGTTACATTTCGTATAAAATTACTTCGTCATAAATGTAATGCTACCGGTGAGTTCCCGGAAATTTGGGAGGGGGTGTACACCTCCCCCAAAAACACCTCACGAAACGCCCTTGCCCACGCTGGCTCCACGACACTCATTTCAAACATATTCTAAAGCCCTGGTCAAACAAACGCATGGAAAATTTGTACCCAACAGGCAAAAAATCAATGTTGGACGAGATATTGGATGCGTTTGACCTTGGGGTCATCCATAAAGTACGTACGCAGTTTTAGAGCAACTTCTCGACCCCCTCCTCTTTGTACCCACATGTAGGCTTTTCGTGTACCCCCCACCCCTTTGCGAATACTGCGTATGCTTATATCTTTTTAAACCCTCCTTCCGTTTCAAGGTAAAATGCAAATAATTGAGAGTTTCCAGGGAAATTCAGGAATTTGTCCATTTATGTAATCACGTGAAGCACATCGAAGAAGATTCTTTAACATTGAGCCTACATAGTTTTTATCGGAAGTTCATCAAACAGAGCAGATTTTAGAAAGGATGAAAATATGCAACAAACTTCCCATTAACATCTCTGCCATTTGAACAATGAATGAGCAAGTTTGCAAGGTTCAAAGCTCACGTTTAAGAATTTCTTAAGCGTACGTACTAAATTCCCATTACACATCCTCCCCCCTTGCACCCAAGCGAACGATTTTTGGTCGACTCCCCCTCCCCATGAGTGCGTACATACTTTTTGGATGACCCCTACCCATGTTGGGTCACCCAAAATTTGCAAACCGATGTTGGATGAAGTTTGATCACGGTCTAAAACAAATTTTGTTTTTTCAATGTTCGATGTAATGTTGGATGCGTTTGACCACTCCATTCAACATTTCACCCAACATTTCACTTTCTGGGCATGCGCACAATTCAAACCACTTTATTGTCATTGAAGCCGAGGTGAATCCAGATTCATTTGTGAGCAACATTTTTCAAAGTTATCGAGTGCCAATGGAAAGTTAAAGCAAAGAGCAGAATGAAATAACCGAACAATTGATAACTGAGGAAAGGGTGGCGGGTTAGGGCGAATGTAGCAGTGACGGGGAGAGTCACAGTAGCGAAGGCAGGAAGTTATACGTTTCAACGTGTTTTTTTTCGAATTCAGCATTCACTTTTGTTTTACGCGCCTTTTTATCATCTGTAAACCAGTGCTGCAAACATGTCGCTGCGCAGGCGATGCACGGTGATGGAAATGTTGGGCGAAATATGGCAAATCTGGCAATGAACCTCAGTTCAAATTCAGAGAATTTTGAGACATCTGCAAAAGTAGGCTTTGCAGTTTTGTGAAAACGATTTATGTAGCAAAGAGGGAAGAATAGATTTTCCTAACAGCAAAAACAAGATGTTCAAATATCTTGTTGTGATTATTTATTCTGTTTGTGTTCCTGCGGCAAGCTTTCGGTTGAATGGTTGAATCGGTCATTGTGTGAAGGCTTCCGTGTACAAAATTCAGGACAAACTACCAGACGGAAATTGTGATTGCTGTTAATGATCCAAATGCTAAAAAAGCTGAAAACATCTTTAATTATAGTATCAAACAATATCAAGCAATGAAACCAACTGCCATTTAGTTCGCTGCTCGAATAAAATTAAGGATTCAATCGCTTCAAATGTTTTGGAACGAATGAAAAAATATGACTTGACTTGATTTCCCTTTATGTCGTAAGCTAAAATCTGTTTAATGCTATTTTTATTGATAAAATCATCGCCCCTTTTCCCGGAGCAAACAAACTACTGGCTTTCCCAAATAGAATTCTAGACAGAAATCAGTTTGCCTACAGGACCTATTTTTTCCATTCGTGTACGATGAGTCATTAAACATTACTTTATGCCTCTTATTTTGAAAAATTATATATCCTACGCATTACATTTGAAAAAAATCTTGCAGGCACCTTTTGCAAAACAGTTTGTGCCCGCAGGCACAAAAATATTCTAGGGAGGTCTGAATGAATTTCGTTCAGGGAAAAATCAATGCAGTGAGCAAAGCCAATTTTTTCATCTTTTTTAGCAAGCTTTGCTTCCATGTCTAAAGCTCTCATCTTTAGATCAGACTTGATTTCGTTCAATCTTGGATCATATACTGTGCATTATATTCCCTTTTTACACCCAACTTTTTAACAGTTTTTGTCATGAATGGCTCTTTTGTGGCATATTTTCTTCATATTTTCTAGATATATATTTACATTTCCTCTCTAGTATAATCAGTTGAATCAAGAATATTCCCAGAGAGTCAAGGTCAACATTTTGGCATAAGTAACAGGCCTAAGCAACATTTACTTTGAAAGTAATTACTTGTAGAAGTTTACTTGGAAGTCAACAGTTTTTAGTCTAAGAGTAAAGACAACAGGATTTAGTAGTTTTTATAGTAGTAGATCTATCAGTATACACCCAACATATTTTCTTCAGGAATTCCCCATTGTCTAGTCTACAGGTAAACGGAATCTCCTCTGGCACCATTGTCAATTGATTTAAGAGCTCTTTGATGAAACAACAAGGCCAGTTTCCCCGTCTAGCGAAACTTCAACTCTGCGAATTTCTTTTTTCATGCTAGCCTTACATTTTGCTTTGACATTAAAGTGGTTTCCAGAAACAGTGGTGAAAATACTATCAGCCGACAGATACCTCTCCTCTTTGAACTTTCTACCGCGGTCCAAGGTTTTGATGATTGCGCTGCCTTTACCACGAGATTTTCTATGGATCTCTATCTCCTTGACGAAGAAAAGTGGCATTTCTTTCAAGCTTTTCCCCCAAACGATATTCATATTAGATTCTACCTCAGATTCTGCAGCTTTTTCGACGTTTTTGCAAGGGAACTTGGTCTCACAAGTATTATCCACATCTATTATTTCCGCTACAAACAAATTTTATCAAGCTAGACCTCGATTCCAGGTGACTGGGATACGAGGCTAATGAAAAAACTCAGGAAAGGTGTATTCCAACTTTAAATGAAGCATTGAAAAAAGCATCTGGGATGTAGTTGTCAGGGAGATCGATACATCGATATATATATTATGTATATAGAAAAAATCGCGTAACCGAATTTGAGTATAGGTATCGTGTGCGTGTAGGTATTGCGTGTATTCAGCCAGTCTGTATAGATATACATTGCAACTTAACCATATATCATTAATAAATAAAGTTTAAAATAGTAACAATAGGAATTTAAAAAACTACTATTTTACTTCGCAAAAGGTATGGTACAATTTTTAAAAAAAATTTGAACACTCTAATACAATAATTGCTAATTTGTAAGTAAAACGGCCTTCGTAGAATTTTCCTGACCGAATGTAATCAAATTTATGAAATGTACTACTCAATTTTATAAAGAAAACAGATTGAAAAGAATCCTTCCCAATATTTCATCATTTACATGTTACTGTTCATTAAGAAATGCATCTGGATGTTTATAGTTTCGAGAGCCATTTACGGTCGATTCAAGGACTTCATTCCTTTTAATCATTGTTATATATATATGATGAAAACCATTGAGCATACAACGGAACTAGTTAAAAATGTTATCTTGATAGTTCCATATAGGAATATCATCTAATATTCTAATCCTAAGGAGATGCGAAGAAGCTTGGATTCTGCGGTGGAGTGAACTGCTAGAGACCATGCTAGTTGGCTACAGAGAAGGGGGCCGTCGGAAAGGTACTGTTTGGTACAATGGCTGTTTGGTATTCAGGCGTTTGTATTGTGTCGATATTTGGTGTCACACTTGAGGCATGTGGTGGAAAAGGTGCTAACTCTGCTAGTGGATAAGAGGCATCCCCTCCACTGAATATGACAGAACGCTGTGGCATACACTGCTGCCACCGCTCTCCATTTTGCATAAAGGTACCATTTGCTGAGGTATTGGCGACGATGTATGCTGCTGAGGTAGCAGTTTGAGAATAGCTTGTTTGTATTGCTGTAGAAAGCACCTCAGAATCATGCGATCTCTTGCAACAACAAAGAACGGCAGTGATGATAATAAGTATTATGAGGACAACACCGACGACTCCACCGATGGCTCCACCGATGTATATTCCAGCTTTGCTTGCACTTTTAGAGGAAGACCCGTCACCTATAGAAACAAATTTATTTCTTATAAAAAAGTTGCTGTTTAAAAAAACAATGCATAATCTTTTGTAAGAATAAAGTCTAAAAAAATTCTAAGGCTAAAAATATAAGGCCTAAAAAGCTTCATCACAAATTAAATTTTTTGTTTAACTTACTTTTCTTACAAAGCAAAACGATTTTCACTTCACGCCATATATGTCAGTGGCGTGGCGGCCATGTATGATGCACTTGCGGCGCAAGCGTAAAAAATTCTTGAAAAATACTAAAATTCTTGCGACAATTTTACCGGTGATAAATACGTTGCAATGTCAAAGTCAATGTATAATATATTCCGCAATAAATGGCTTTTTCTATGTGATCTTGCTTTGAAATTCTTACATTTAGATGGTTTCTTTCTTGACGATTTTGATGGCTTACAGGGTGGGACACCTAACAGAAATGATTTTGCTGGCCATTCCAGCTGTTTTCTAGAGGAAAATGAACATGAAGTACCACAGGGTTCTCAAACCTAAGGGTATTTTCAAAATCAAAAATTTATAATCACGATTACATTGTATTACTGCTTGGATTTAAAAAAGGTGCATTTGCAATTTTATTTATTCAACATAGACCTATATAATAATTTACCGCATGACGAAGTTCTGCGCTCACGCTACGCCACTGATATATGCATATGTTTTGAAACATTATTTGCTTCTCTACAGTGTGGCTCTGTGATGAGATTTTGTATTTCGATGCTACATTCGTTCTTCTATTCTCTTATTTCTTAAGTTTAATATGAACCAACACTTGAAACAAGAAGTTTTTTTCCTTATTTTCAAGGCGAATTTTCAGCTTGTGTCAGCCTAGAATAATTTAAGAATAATTTTAAGATTAAAATTGAAACCATTTCAGAGAATTGTGGTCATTGCTACCATTGAGCGAAATCTTTGTTAAAAGAGGAAAAATTTGAAACCTATAAACATAATAAAACTTTATTGGAGCTCATTCCTTACGACGACCGTAATTGTGCATATTGCGTTAGAACTGCCCCTGAGAACATTCATTAGTATCTAAAGGAAGGAATTTCCGTACCTCAGTACAGAATTTGAATAATTTCCTTGTAACAATCCCAACGCCCATCCATTTCAAGTACTTTCGATTCAGCTTAACTTCGCAGATTTTTGAAAATTTTTTCGATATTATTGAATTTTCTCTCTGTTTTAGAATTGAGATGAGAATTGAGAATTGATCTCTATTTTAGATTAGAATTACTGCCGCTATCGATATTTGCAAACTTATTTATTACTTCGACAAAGTTCTTACCTTCACAACTTATTCCAGTCCCCTTATATCCACTTTTGCACGTGCACCTGTATGAACCAATTGTATTTGTGCATATTGCATTAGAACTGCATCTATGGGTCCCTTGAGAACATTCATCAGCATCTAAAATTAAGAATGGTTGTTCTTTAATAATATCGGTTGGTTACTGCAGAGTATATAAATAACCTCTGTATAAGAAACCAGTGACCCATCTATTTCAACTAGTTTCGATTCTGCCTACTTTAGTATCATGTATATCATAGAATATTACGTTAATAAGGCATCTTTCAGTTATTCTACCCTTTTCAACCATTGCTGTTCCAAAAAGCAATTCGCAAATTTGTCAATATTTTCATAGATTCTTGCGAACTTAGTTATTTCTTTGAGAAATTTCTTACCTTCACAACTAGTTCCAGTCCCCTTATATCCACTTTTGCACGTGCACCTGTATGAACCAATTGTATTCGTGCATATTGCATTAGAACTGCATCCATGGGTCCCTTGAGAACATTCATCAGCATCTAAAATTAAGAATGGTTGTTCTTTAATAATATCAGTTCGTTACTGCAGAGTATAAATAACCTCTATATAAGAAATTCTTGACCCATTCATCTCAACTACTTTCGATTCTGCCTACTTTAGTATCATGCATATCATAGAATATTACGTTAATAAGGCATCTTTCAGTTCTTCTACTCTTTTCAACCATTGCTGTTCCAAAAAGCAATTCGCAAATTTATCGCTATTGTTATCGATACTTGCAAACTTACTTATTCCTTTGACAAATTTCTTACCTTCACAACTAAATCCTGTCTCCTTATAGCCATATGTGCATGTGCACCGGTATGAACCGATTGTATTTCTGCATGTTGCATCAGAACTGCATCTATGGGTCCCTTGAGAACATTCATCAGCATCTAAAATTAAGAATGGTTGTTCTTTAATAATATCAGTTCGTTACTGCAGAGTATATAAATAACCTCTATATAAGAAACCAGTGACCCATCTATTTCAACTAGTTTCGATTCTGCCTACTTTAGTATCATGTATATCATAGAATATTACGTTAATAAGGCATCTTTCAGTTCTTCTACTCTTTTCAACTATTGCTGTTCCAAAAAGCAATTCGCAAATTTGTCACTATTTTTCATAGATTCCTGCAATTTTACTTATTCCTTTGAGAAATTTCTTACCTTCACAACTAGTTCCAGTCCCCTTATATCCACTTTTGCACGTGCACCTGTATGAACCAATTGTATTTGTGCATATTGCATTAGAACTGCATCCATGGGTCCCTTGAGAACATTCATCAGCATCTAAAATTAAGAATGGTTGTTCTTCAATAATACCAGTTGGTTACTTCAGAGTATATAAATAACATCTATATAAGAAACCAGTGACCCATCCATTTCAACTAGTTTCGATTCTGCCTACTTTAGTATCATGTATATCATAGAATATTACGTTAATAAGGCATCTTTCAGTTCTTCTACTCTTTTCAACTATTGCTGTTCCAAAAAGCAATTCGCAATTTTGTCACTATTTTTTATCGATACTTGCAAACTTACTTATTCCTTTGACAAATTTCTTACCTTCACAACTAAATCCTGTCTCCTTATAGCCATATGTGCATGTGCACCGGTATGAACCGATTGTATTTCTGCATGTTGCATCAAAACTGCATCCATGGGTCCTTTGAGAACATTCATCAGCATCTAAAATTAAGAATGGTTGTTCTTCAATAATATCAGTTGGTTACTGCAGAGTATAAATAACCTCTATATAAGAAATGGTTGAACCATCTATTTCAACTACTTTTGATTCTGCCTACTTTAGTATCATGCATATCATAGAATATTACGTTAATAAGGCATCTTTCAGTTCTTCTACCCTTTTCAACCATTGCTGTTCCAAAAAGCAATTCGCAAATTTGTCACTATTTTCATAGATTCTTGCGAACTTAGTTATTCCTATGAAAATTTCTTACCTTCACAACCAAATCCTGTATCCTTATATCCATTTTTGCACGTGCACATGTATGAACCGATTGTATTTGTGCATATTGCATTAGAACTGCATCTATGGGTCCCTTGAGAACATTCATCAGCATCTAAAATTAAGAATGGTTGTTCTTTAATAATATCGGTTGGTTACTGCAGAGTATATAAATAACCTCTATATAAGAAATCCTTGACCCATTCATTTCAACTACTTTCGATTCTGCCTACTTTAGTATCATGCATATCATAGAATATTACGTTAATAAGGCATCTTTCAGTTCTTCTACTCTTTTCAACCATTGCTGTTCCAAAAAGTTATTTTCAAATGTATCACTATCTTTTATCGATACTTGCAAACTTAGTTATTCCTTTGAGAAATTTTTTACCTTCACAACTAAATCCTGTCTCCTTATAGCCATATGTGCATGTGCACCGATATGAACCGATTGTATTTCTGCATGTTGCATTAGAACTGCATCCATGGGTCCCTTGAGAACATTCATCAGCATCTAAAATTAAGAATGGTTGTTCTTCAATAATATCAGTTGGTTACTGCAGAGTATAAATAACCTCTATATAAGAAACCAGTGACCCATCCATTTCAACTAGTTTCGATTCTGCCTACTTTAGTATCATGTATATCATAGAATATTACGTTAATAAGGCATCTTTCAGTTCTTCTACTCTTTTCAACTATTGCTGTTCCAAAAAGCAATTCGCAAATTTATCACTATTGTTATCGATACTTCCAACCTAGCTTTTCCTTTGAGAAATTTCTTACCTTCACAACTAGTTCCGGTCCCCTTATAGCCACTTTTGCACGTGCACCGGTATGAGCCAATTGTATTTGTGCATATTGCATTAGAGCTGCATCCATGGGTCCTCTGTGTGCATTCATTAACATCTAAAAAAAGAACTTCAGTCATCTCTAATTTCGTGAGCAAAACAATCAATTATGAAAAAATATTTTGATTATTTTGAAATTATGAGTATTTTGATTTGTTAGAGAAAGAAGATCGAATTCTTGATTACGGCAATTAAACCTTTGGATGAAGTAAGCTAAAAAAATTCAAAATAAAATGCATATTACCAACCATACTGCAGATTGTTTCATTGCCCCTATACCCACTATTGCAAGTGCATTGGTATGAACCAGCCGTATTTGTGCATAACGCATTAGAACTACACCCATGGGTTTTTTGCGGACATTCGTTTACATATAGAAGTAAAATTATCAAAGTTGGCCACTATTTATTTAAGCCAACTGAATGAAATTTTGAATTTTCGACAAAAAATAAATGATAAGTAAATATCTTTTCTCAAGCGTAGCATCATAGAAGATTGACGCTGACTCAAAGTTTTTCAAGAAAAGAAGATTCAACTTTGCTAATAAGTCATATCATCTTTGGCATCAAGTACAAAATTGTTAATGATCAAAAGAATGGCTGACATTCACTTAGTTACATGCTGTTTCCCTCGATTGCCGCAATAAAGCATCATATAACACTGTTTAGCTTGTCCATGCAAGACAATGTTCCTAAATATTGCACTGAAATGTCTTCAATTAACAAATACAATTTTTTACAATGCGATGCTGTCTCCGTCTTATACTGATGTGAAATATAGTTATTTATTATACCTGCAGAGAACAAGCCCTTTTTTCCTTGGAACTTTTTAAAACCATGTCACCTGATCGATTATGTATTAATAAATATGTTTATGTAAGGGCAAACTTCAGAGATATTTTCACACTTTTACTTAGAAAAGAAAACTTCAGTGCTAATCACGATATTGAGCCTAAACTTGAAATTTAATTACGTCAAAAGATGCCTTATAAGTCAATCCATATCTACTTTCTGTATATCTGCCATTTCAAGCACAGTGATTTAAACAGACCATACTTTTTTGAATTGGCCTTAAAAGTTAACACTGAAGAAGAGTTAGTATTGTCAAAAAAAATTTAACAAGCTTTGGCTATATTAGCAAAACATTTGTTTTTTAATTTACAATGAAATTGCACTAAAATCTTTTCAACTTAAAATGATACTACAAGAAAATGGGCATCACCATCATAGTATCTTTATTGCTGGTTTCTTTAGTTATCTTTTTTCCTCATAAAAAAGTATATTTTTTCTATCCAATTATTTTCCCAGATGTTGATAGGTATTCCGTACAAATCTATACTTAAAGAAGCAAAATTTAGAAAAGCTTCTACTAATTTTACAATCGTCGGCTTAAAAGTATTCTTCTTCATACCTGAGCAGCTTGTGCCAGTTCCTGTGTAGCCGCTTTTGCAGAAACATCTATATGAGCCAGCAGTATTCGAGCAAATAGCATTAGAACTGCATCTGTGTGTTCCTTTGGTACATTCATTTACATCTGAAATTAAAGATATTACATTAGAAGGTAAATTACCTTCTTCACTGTACATAATTTATGAGCTTTTTATTTAAAACACAAATGTTGTGTTACCCTTCAGATATGTCTGTGTTCTTTTGTAGATTTTGCTTTGGTTCGGAAAAAACAATTCCGGAAGTGAGTGGTATCAAAACGAGGCAGAAAAGTTGCTCTTTCTATCTTCTTGTCTTTTTATTGATTTCAAAAAGGCGTTTACATCAGTTTCAAGTCACGTGAATGGTGTAGCACAAAATCCAGTAATTATATAGCGCCCTACTCCCTCCCCTGAGTCTCCCCACTCAAAATTCAAGTAGCATTGCAGCTTTGAATAGAAAACAATTAATCTCTCTTCATTTCTTCATATGAATGATATATGGCAAACCAACTTTCTTTCAATTCATCAATTTCAATCATGCACCTTCTATCTTACTCTAGAGCTATAGATTAATTCTCCCTGTGTTTTTAAAAGAGCCTCCATCTTACATTTAAATGCTTTAAGTTGTTTGATTTTCCAAGCAAAATTAAATTCTTGCCATGACGTTATTGCAAAGTAGTTAAATTCCTCATAAAAAGCATATTTTTCCATCCAGTTATGTCGAAAGATTTTCCCAGATGTTGATAGCTATTCCGTACAAATATATACTTAAAGAAGCAAAAATTAGAAAAGCTTCTACTAATTTTACAATCGTCGGCTTAAAGAGATGATTCTTCATACCTGAGCAGCTGGTTCCATTTCCTGTGTAGCCGCTTTTGCAGAAACATCTATAAGAGCCAACCACATTTGTGCAAGAAGCATTAAAACTGCATTGATGGGTTCCAAGTAAACACTCATTTGCATCTGAAATTAAAGATTTTGCATTAGAAGGTAAATTATCTTCTTCACTGTACATAATTTAAAATCAAACTTTTGCCATGACGTTATTGCAAAATAATTTAATTTGCTCAAAACAAAATTGATTTTCAAAATCAAGATTGACAAGGAACGTAAATTTGCTTTTTATACAAGAATCCAGCTCACAAAAAATTGTAACATGACTGCAGCAAAAAAATTGATTATTCAAGGAAAAATAGGCTATGTAAACATACCATAGGCCATGTAGCCGACAATGACACCACGAAATCCAGACAAAGTGATGGGCCTATTCATGAATAGATAAACGTATTTGTTTTTAACAGTATACACTGAATGAGTTTTGATTCCGCAGATCATCCCACTTACAGTAGTTGCATTAGATAATATGCTTGATGAAGTTGTGTAGCGATAAGACGATGCTAAAATAAAATTATAGAAATCAGTTGCACAGTGACATTCTTTTTTTCTACAAATTATTTAGAATATATAACAAATGCAGCAAAAATTAACAGATTCATTTTGGATCTTCATTGGAAACCTTTTCTGAGCCTTGTTGTGAGTTTTTTTCTCAATTTACGAATGTCCATGGACAAGAAATGGACCTATTCGATCTATAGAATAATAAGAATGGAACTTTTCATGATAAATGACATCACGAATAAAGTTTATTCAGAAAATCAAGTTCACGGACCAAGGTAAACTTATGGGATAACAAAAAAACCTAAGTAAAATAAAATTTTGTTTAGATCATGCTAAATCGACTATGGTTATTGGAGAGCTGTTATCGAAGTAAGGATAAGTTCCCAATTCTGCTTTAATCCTCTCCCTATTCACAGTTTAAGAACAAAATTCTGAAACCATCGTCTTATTTAAGGCAAAGTTTCCGAAGCAGATAACGTTGATTTTTTTAAAAATAAGTTTCTAGGAAAAGTCAAATTTGAGGAAATGTAGAAACTTATTACAGAATTCTTCAATGTATATCATGAAGGCAAGATCAATGTAACAACTCTCAGGAAAATGTTCGTAAAGTTTCAAAAGAATTAATAACAGCTCTCTTCTTGAAGATTTGTCAAAACAATAGGAACTGTTCTTTAAGAGTAACTGTTAAGTGTATCAAAACATACTTAATATAGCCCAAAGAAGCAATAAACCAATGAAAAACCTCTGGTATATTTGAAACAGACATTAAATGATTTATTTACCTTTCACTTCAAAATAGGAACCATATGAGTAACAGTAGGCAGAAGGTGGTAGGTATAATGAAATGTCCATAACAGCAACCCATACCGGATTATTACCGGCGTAATAGCGCCTCCAACACGGGGTGTTGCTCGCGTAGTAACTGTAGGGCCAACCAGAAGAGTAGAAGGTTGCTGCTGCAGAACTATCGCTGTAGCTATAAAGAAAGCACTATAATTGGTAAAGAACAATCTTCAAAAATGTTTAGTGAAACTAAATTGTTTTCATTCCAAGTGTTGCTTTGCAATCCAATAAACGGAGCGAGCAAGATTCAAATAAACAGCGTTGCCATCACCTAATTCTATTCTATCCAAACCAAAAAGACTCAAACGATTTGAGTAAAAATTTCCTAATTTGTTTTTGTGCAGAAAATATGCCTCTTTACCTGCTATTTTCATGCATAAATTATTCTTGCATTCCTATTCTTGTCAGCCAGTGCAGTGGGAAGGTCAACCTGATTGCCTCCCTGGCACGCGAGCCCTTAATACCATCAAAAAGTTTGGAAATGTATTCAGAAATCTTTAAGTGATAGAAACCAACAAGAGTTACCTAGTGGACTACCAAATTAGTTGAAGTATATATTATCAGCACTGACCGAAATCATGCCAAACAAATTGTTCTCCTGAAAAAGTTCTAGCAACCAACAATGTTATGCGTTACTGTATATACCCGCATAAAAGAACCCAGGTTCTTTCCTGGCGGCCTAAACCGGCTGCCAAGCTGCTATTCTCGATTTTTAAGAAGGCTCTTATATACAGAAAAGCCTTGCACAAATTAACACTGTTTCCACTTCAGGAATTCTCATTGTCAAAGTTAAACCAGCGTCATTTTTCTGTTCAATTTCAACCAGTCACAATCATCTGTCTTTTTTGGAATGCACAATGAAAATGCAACCTTTGATAACCTGATTTACTTTAATTTGCCAGCGCGAATAGGGTGTAAGAATACCTGTTTGAAATAATTTGTGTACAAAAGATTATGAAATCAAAATTGTTAATGTGATATATATTTATTTTAAATTGCGGGAAGGTTTGCTGAACTACAGATCCAAAGAGCGCTTTGCAAATACATTTCCGACAGGATAGGAAAATAAAACTGGTAAAAAAATAAAGGGAAAGAAAGAAAAGATTAAAACAGAGAAGTTTAATTTTCAATGCTTATTTAATTGCTTTTCATTTCACTGTGAAGTGTTGTTCTTATTGATGTCAAAATTCATGGCTGGGTCTCAACCAAAAAACCCTTTTTCATCAAAATGTGCAACGATAAAATTACCTCAAAATTGGGAATGATCTAGTAAAAAGCTAACAACCATTCATAAACTCCAGATTATGTAAGGCAGAAACTGCGACGCATACAAGGCATTAGGAAGAGATCTGAAAAGATTTAGTTTGGTAGGGGGCTACCCTGCTAAAAGTCAAATCATATTATTTTTGCATTTATCTAAGCACAGTATGAAAATTTCAAGGGGGCTCGAAGCCATCCAGATCAACGACACTCTTCCCCGCGGGCCCTGGTTAAATGAACACCTTCTGTTTCAAATATTTTTCAGAAATAAGAAATAAAATAAGAAAAGAAAAACACAAGTTTATACGAACTAGCAACTTGATGTTGCTGAGCCGCCCATCCGTGATGATGTTTTGTTCTTTAACTGGTATGTCAATGAAAAACCGGTTCGTGTTACGGTACGATCTGACCTGAACACAATCTTTGCATATCCATCGTAGGAATACATATTGAATGGATTTGTGTCAATCATATTATCGGAGCAGTAACTCCCAATGCTATTGTATGATCTGAAATGAAATCAGTAATAACATCGATCATAAAGCTAGAACCAGGAATGAGGTCCTTCAAAAGTGGTGCAGATTGTTCCCGTGTGTCCTTTGAAAAATAACCAATGTTTTTCATGGATGATTTTTGACAAACATTTTTTTATATCACAAATAAAATAAACCCAAAATTAACTACATATAAATATTATGTGTATGCCGTAGCCGGAAAAGACATGATGTCATCGAGCTCCAACTACGACAGCACTTACATTAATATTGAAGTACATACACAGATAATCTAAATGACAAAAAAGATAAACTTCAACTTCACCGGGTGTCTTAGAAGGAACATATCCCCCCGTCCACATTATTGCTGTTAATAATTGATGGAGTACCATCACGTTGACATGGAAACAGATCAAGCTATACAAGGAAGTAGTTCATCACAAGACTTCGGGTACAAAAATTACAGGAAAAAGGAAAACAAAAAAAATAAAAAAAATGCTGCTGCTTTGCGATTGAATTCAACCTGACAATCTTGTCATATTTTTGATAAACAAAATTGTTGTTTCTTGATCGACATTTAAAACAGGGATTTCAGAGGGCAGATCAGAGAGATCTAGCCGCATTGAGTCAAACAAGAGGGAAGTGCATAGGAAAGTACTCGTTGTCTTTCTTGTCAGTACCGCAAACACAAAATGAAGTTACCGACCTTATACTTAGATCCCGTTTACACGGGATCGTTCCCAAACTGGCTTTCCCTTTACACGGGAACGCTCGGGATCGATCAGCTATCCATGCTTATTTGGGTTCGCTTTGGAAAGCGTTCTAGTTTGGGATCGATCCAGTTTGGTCTATGCAAGTACTTTCAAGTAGAGGGTCTGGGACACAGGCTAACTCAAGTGGGATAGTTCACCTCTCATATGAACGTAATGTTATTTCTTCATACAAATCAGTTTATCGATTGGATCTCGCCTCAGTGGGCTATCCCACCTCAGTGGGAGAACTCTTCTCATATGAACAGGCCTTTACTGTCAATTTGAAGTACTCCTTGTTATCATACCCGTAATCTATATTTGTTCGATACCATGTATTGGGAAGCACATCATATTTCTCTATTTACGAGCTACATATAATTCAATCTCATTAAGTTAATATACCTTAGCCGGGCCCTGCATGCAGACATTGAAAAAAATACAATATTTAAAAACTCAGATAAGGAAAACTTCATTAAAATGATTTATTTTTTAACAGAGTTTTTTGTAATCATTGCAAAGTCTTGGGAAAATATTCTCCAATTCATAGAAATCAATGCGAACATTTTGTTATTTGAATTCCTTTTGTTTGAGAAAATTCCAATATTGAAAGGTTCAGAAAAGGGAAAATTCCAATCAAATGACTTCTTTTGTGAACGAGTTTTTTTTCATTCCAAAGAGGAAGTTCAAATCAAATGATTTGTTTGTTAAACAAGTTTTCCTATTCGATATTGCCGAGATATGAAAATGGAAATTTTGCTGCTTGAATTACCACAATTTCTTCGAATCATTTGTTTTCCTCTTTCTAACAACAAACAGGCTTACTGTTTACGTTCTAATTTAGCAGGTAGTTTGTTTGCTCGTGTAAAGACTAAGAGGTGGCGTTTTTAGCGAAACCATGACCATCAATCATGAAAACACAACATGATCGGAGACAATCTCGGAAAAGCGATAAAAGTTTTTATAAATCGTTCTTAAAAAATTTACATATCTTCAAAATAAATATTCCTGTGCATGGCTGCATCCATACCTCGTGAGAAATACTTGAACAGAGTCATAACAGAAAATTGGTAGATATCCTTGAATGTTGAACGATATCCATTTGATTTCCAAGTAGAAGTAACTGGAAAACGAGTAGGAACTAGCAGGTATGATGTAGAATGTACAGTGCTCATCATTTGAGTAGTTGAGCCTCGACAATGTTTGCAGAGAGGTTGTCGCGTAATTGTTCGAATCATAGCACACTCCACTGGCATTTTTGAGCAAAATTGCCAAGGCATGCCAGAAAAGGACGAAGCTTGATTTCATTTCTGTGAGGCTTTGAACATAAATGTTTTACATTAATAGTAAACTTGAAGTTTTCCAGGAAGTCTATAAAAAATTTCTCTGTTGAAAGATTGAATGAGAATGTATTACCTCCGGGATTAAATTGTGAAGTCTCTGGTGATCAACGTGGATTGCTGCACGCATCTCTGTCTGAAAGATATTTGTTTATTGTAATGCGGAAGCACCAGCGTATAATACCCCCGCAGCGATGCACAATGTCTAATCCAGTGGCGTTTATTAGGGGGGCGGGGGGCGAAGGCGGGCAGTTGCCCCCCCCTGGAGTCCAAAAGTCGGCAAAATCACCATTCGGCAACATCTGATATTTGCTATTTTGTCATTTTCAAAAAATTTCCTACATTAATACTTCAATCATTTAGGGTCTTGTTTCCAACAGTACTTCTTTCCAGAGAAAGCAAAGTAGAATCGATATGGAGGAGGTCAAATAAATTGTCAGAGAATCCAGATTTTAACGCAAAATGCCTAAACTCTGTCGAGTATTCATAAAGCCTTCTGTTAAAAAGCATCCAGAAATAATGAGAAAGGGGAAAAAAGGAAGAGTTTCTTGTGAAGCAATGTACAAAACCGGACTGTGTAAGGCCCTGATCTGCATAGAGCCTATAAAATACCTTAAAAAAGAGATTGAAGTAAGGGATATCTCAATAAGAATTGGTTAAATGTCTCCTTAATGTAAAGAGGCTTTTACTCATTCCTTTTGGCTTATCATATTATTAAGATATGGTTTGAGAATTTTAACGTACTTTGTTGTTATCTTTAACTATAATCTTTTAATATCTCGCAGTATTTCGTTTCATTTCGTTTCGTTTCGTTTCGTTTCGTTTCGTTTCGTTTCGTTTCATTTCGTTTCGTTTCGTTTCGTTTCATTTCATTTCGTTTCGTATCGCTGATTATAATAAGCCTTCCTTTGAACCATGCTGGTTATAGCGTATGATAACCTACTTGATGCTTTTGAAAATAAAGAAAATCTCAGAAAAGTTGTTTTAAAAATTTGAAATTTAATATCATGTATGAACAGAACGGCTTTAAATTTCTCAAAGAAAGTTCATTGTGAGCTAACCTGATTTTTTTTAAGTTAATAACAAGTTTGTAGAAGGTTAGGTTTAGCTAAGGACAAGGGAAGTCAGAAGAAGGTTTAGCTTTTCGTAAACCATGAAAGTCATCACATCCCATTTTGGGAATAGTTCAAACTAATTTGAGCTATTTACTATAAGCCACACTATTTGTCATGTAACAGTCGGCAAATATCATACTTTTGCCCTCCTGAAATTTTACGAAAAACCGCCACTGACTTCTATTCTCACTCATCGAACATAACATAACGAAACTGGCGCGTGCATCCGTGCACAATGATGTCACAATGGGACATCAAAAAATGAGAGCTGAGGGCCCTCTGTAAAATACATACTGTAAAAAAGTTACGACGTGGTTTAGCTGAACCTTTCTTCATAAATTTACAAAATGATTTTAAACCTTTGAATTTCGTATTTCAACAACTGGTTACAATTTGCTGTAGATTGCTTAACTAAACTAGAAGTAAACTGTGCTAATATTGAATCATTGAATTGAAACTAGATATAAAGAAAGGGGAAAATGACCCACACTTTGATCAGTCGAATTCAAAGCGCAGAAATCCCGTCCTGATACTTTGATAGCTCTTACTCAACCGGCATGCTTTGCTCAACCGGCATGCTTTGCTCAACCGGCATGCTTTGCTCAACCGGCATGCTTTGCTCAACCGGCATGCTTTGCTCAACCGGCATGCTTTGCTCAACCGGCATGCTTTGCTACTATAGTATAAAAAGAACACAAAGATATGCCCAGACGTAATCGGACGGATTTTGTCAAGACTGGACAGAAGAAAGTCTGAAGATTTTCCTCAAGGAAAAATGCACTTTTTAGCGTCTTTCTCATGTCGTTGATACGCTTTGTAGAAGAAGAGATCCTGTTTACCTGGCAGCTTTTTCGACCAAATGGACTGAGGAAAATCGTTGACACAAATTATCAATATGAGGAATCCAAGAAAAAATCCCTGTGGAACACCAAACATCTAACTCTTCCATTCACGATGTAACACAATTTTTCAAAACCAACTTTGGATGCCAGAGACGATTGAAGGAACTAAAGCAACTCAAATTTATTCCACTTTTAAATTATAAATATATTTTACAGTTCTTTCTTTAGATAGTTAAACGCCTTTAACGTCCAACCAAAAAGTGCTGTTGTGCTGTGCTGATGGCTTAATGTAGAACAGAAGCAGTTAGCAGCAGCACCACCGTGAAGAAAAAGGGGGTTAGGGCTCCGTTTGGAGCAAATCCTATAAAGCAAATTTCTAATTAGGGCATTCCTTCATATTCATATATAAGGTAGACACTACAACCTTTCTGTATGGCAAAAGCTCAACACGGATGTATTTTTCACGAAAGACTAATAGCTAACAATGAGCCATTGCGCCACACGCAAGCATCCCATAATGCATTTTCAGACTTTCTAAAATCAATTTAGGTAAATCGTATTACGAGGAAGAAACAACAACCTTTCTGTATTACAAAAGCTCAACACGGATGTATTTGATTAATACTGTACTATTTTCGATGCAAAAATGAAAACATGTAACACAGTAGATTTCAAATTAAGTTGCTATTGAAGAAATGGGTGATCCCTTCTAAGTCTCCCCACCTGAAGTCGAGTTCACTTTTTATATATGACAGTTATATATGACATATAGGCAAAACGATACGTGGTCTCACTAAAGCTGGCTCCAGTGAATCTGGTTATATATTAACAAGATTTAGATTGCGAGGAAAACGAAGAGGAAAAAAGCATTTATAAAAATTCCGAAATTTAATCATGCACATTTCGCAAAGCATGCCAGCATGCCAGTTGCGCAAGAGTCTTCAATAAACTTAAATTTTTACCTCACTTATTGAAGAATACTGATAACTGAAAAGGCATATTTTAGTTGATTAATTCATTGATAAGGAGAAAGCCACTATACAGTAGACGATAATAGACTTTTTAGGGCCTAACCAAACTGAATAACGTGACACAGGCTGCCTTTTCACGCAGTGACGTAGCCGGGTTAAAACAAACTAAGCTGGGTTGAAATGTATCCAGGTATAAAATGTATTCTTAGCCCTCTCACTTTAGGTAAATCAGATTTTGATTATTATGAACAGAAACCAAAGCACGCAGAGTTGTGAGAGAAATCAGATATACAACAATAGTCCTTGAATATTTTTGTATAACGCTTTTGTTGTTGTGAGGGGGTCAAGAGATATCAGGGTTTTAGCGTTCCTACTAGCCCACAGGTGAGTTAAAAGATACCCGGGTAAAAACTGATCCACTAGGAGACCCGTTTCTAAAATTATCCGTTTTTCAAGTGGGTTAGGTGGAACGCGAAGCAAAAATGGTTAATTCCTAACCCATTTCTGTTTTCAGCCGGGTTAGTGCAAAAGCTGTCTCGAGTGCTCGTTGTTTCCAGTCTAATTCCCTAGGCATAAAATATTTTGTGATGCAAATGGGTCTGGATCTAATGGGAAATATCTCATCTGGGGGTACTACAAGGAAAGTGCATAGGTGCGTTACTGTTTTTTCGTTCACATCCACTCATCGTCCATAGTGGCAATATATGCAGTCCTTCATAGCAGGGTTGCCATTCTAAAAAGTTAGGAAGGGGGATGTACTGTAGACAAATTCAAGAGGCCAAACCCAAGAACACACCCTTACCACATGCAATATATTTGCATTTAATGTTTAGTTGTTTGTAGAAGTTATTCAAATTATTCGATAACACAAAAAGACTGATAAGAAGTAGCACATTCATAAGTAATCTGTAATATTAAAAAGGGTTGCCAACACATAATTCGTCCAACAAAATATGAACTCATGTTTACTGAAAAAATTAGAACACTTTTACTGAATATTCTTGTTTAAATACGATGAATGAAATAAGAATTTCTACTAAGCTTTTTTGCAAATTCATAGCATTGCGTGCTTCACAGCTTTACAATATTTTGGTTATGCTGACACTAAACAATTATTGATTTGTTCAATCTATTAAACTTGAGTTAGCAACATTCTGATGGAAGTATAGGTGGACAATTCATCAGTATACAGTTGTTTTTGGAAAATAGAAACTGGTATGTTTTCATGCATTACTTTGTACCTCACTTCAGAAATTGGAAAAGAGAAACATTGATATGGCCTCTAATGTTTCAGCAACAAAACTAATTTAAATTTTTTGGGACTCGTTGGATCATTATGAATCTGCATAAGATGTAGTCATGAGATGAACTTGCATCTGCACAGACCAATAACTACTTTAATTTGGCTGCAAACAAGCTATAAAGAAAAAATCACAATGATGCGAAAAAACAAATTTGATCAAAATTAAATTTGAAGATCAGAAAATAGAAGAGGAGTTTGATTGAAAATACTCCTATCAAAGGCTGAGTTCCTTTTTGAATTGTTGATTTTTGTCTTAGTTCTAAGATGAAAGTTCAAGAATTGTTACTAGCTCTAAGATCAGTTCCAAGTTTGACAATTTTTATTGCCAACTTCAAATTCAGATCAAATCTACTGAAGTTAATGGATCATATTTTGGCCTGTGTTTAGATTATATCATAATTTCTTGGGCATTTGCACCATTCTTAGTTTCTTTGTAAATGGGCCCTGTTTAAAACAACATACCAGGCAAATGCGGGTTTTGCCATTTACCATTTACTTTATAAATTAATAGGTGAGAAATAAATGGAGTCCTAGGAATTCTCGCCACAGTTTGTTTGGGAGCATAATGGTTTGCCTACTTAAAATATATTTGAAATACATTTTATCATTAAAATTAAAAGCAGTGAAGATGCAAACCACTTTGCTGCAGGGAAGTCAAGTAAATGTTTTTACATCTCAGCTATTTTACAGTTAGAAAACCACAATTTCACCAAAAGGAAATTTATAAAGATAATAAAATACAGGGCCTTAGAGAAACGGGGCCAGGGGGCCATAGCCTGCCACTTTCTTGCAAAAAAGAGCTTTTTAAAAATATTTTGTAATGATTTTCAAAATCTCCCATTTTCCAACCTGCATTGGAGCCCATGAAATAGTAAGAATTTAATTAGCACAGCCTGAAACTTTCAACATAGAAGAGCTTTTGTCAGAATTTTAATTGTGGACCTGGCAAAGTTGTTTCACCAGAACTGTACATGATTACTTTTCAGCAAATTTTTCATGGGATGAATCCATATCAGAGAAAAAAAATTATCAAAAATAAAACCATCTTTAGGTCAAAATATACATCATATGTTATCAGGATTTTCAAAACAAAAAATTATGCAAATTGAAATCTCATTGTTTTGAATTTCATCATAGAAAGAAAAGAATTCTTATCTGGAATACTCTCTTTTTATGCTTACTTTTTCACTTTTTCAACTTTTGACAGGTGCGAAAATAAAGACTGGAGCAAAGGGGGCAAGTGCTCCAGTCAGATTCTTTTTAGCGCATGTCAATTTTCCTCTTTTGGAAAATGATCCTAAAATTATTAGATGAAAGTTTCTGAAATAATATTTATGTTGCTTAAGTCACAATTTCTTCTAGATCCGCGTCTGCTGGTAGCACTCCACTTCTTTCTAGCACAAAGCCACATATATTACATCTGAAATATGTTATATTTCAAGCAATTTCAGTCACAAAACATCAGTCACAAACTTCTACATGTAATTATATTCCTTTATGTTGAAAATAGTTAATATAGAATATTAAGTGTTGTGATTCGCTAATACACTATATTGCAGAGAGAATTAATATTATATTACTAAAAATTGATTTCAAGTTTGAAGACAAACTGCAAAAATCAGTCTGTTGTTACAATGCCATTTCTGTTTCTAGTAATGTCAGTCACTAGGTCGCTGCGGACTAAAATCCTTATAGTTTGTGACAATTAATTCCTTGACTAATATTAATTTGTGCTCCATTAGTGTCACATTCAGACAAAATGTGATTTAGAATTAGTTGAAGAGAAGTTGTGGTGTGCATAGCTCTGAAAAATGCACTTAAATGTAACATCATTTACATGGAATCACCCATGGCAAATAAAGAATAATACAGCATAATTAAAGCAAATATTTCAATATCAGTAATAAAAAACAGTATAATTGCAAGAGGAATTACCATCAATCTCAAACTAACTTTTACTTTGGATCAAAATTCAATTATCAACCTCAAAGCTAAGTATTTAACAGGAATGAATGGATACTTGGTGATGAAGAGGTCTGCAATTTCTTCTCAGATAGCATCTTGGCAAGAGGGGTATTCTTCATTCGAATTTTCTTCTTTGCTGATTTGGACAATAAAAGAGGGGCACATTTTGGACTTTCAAAGTCATTTTTTGACATGTCTACACCAATGTTAATTTTCTTCTTGGAAAGGTTTCTCGATTTCTGATCTCCTGACATTTTCAATTTGTTGACACATTTCACCTGTGTGACATATTTGCACCTTTGACATGTCGAAACAACAAATGAATTTTTTCTTGACGTCTTTCTTTTTCTCTTACTTCGTTTATCTTTTAAAGGATCTTTTTGTTTAACCTCTGAATTCAATGTATGCTCCAATTTTTTTCTGTTTATTTTCTTTTTTCGAATCTTTGGTTTAATTCGGAATTTAGAAATTGTTGGGTTCTGTAGTGTACCGCAGATTTCGCAAGTAAATCCAGTAGGTTGTAAATCCTCACTTTTTTCTTTGTGTCTATGAATATGAGTTTTATTCAATGAATGCAAGCCTTTTCTAATCGTATTGGTTTTACGACAAACTGGACTTTCTTTGACCACACCAAAATCTGTATTTAACAAATTCGAGGTAACTTCTCTTTCGAGACTGCAGGCTAGCTCCAAATCATTTTGTTCTCTCATTAACGCAGCCGCATTTTGCAAGAAATCGTTTCGACTAGGAGTATAGTGTTTCCTCGTTAAAGAACTGCTTTGCTCCCTTTCCATAATTTCTTTTCCATCCTTTTTCACTGTGAAAACATCGTGAACCGGTGTTTATCTGAGTAAGTCAAAAAGAGGCTAGCCAAAGAGGGCAGGCACAGATTATTCTGATAACATAAAATTGTCATTGATGGAATAGCTATTACGTTCTGAGGGTGGAGACTAAAAAGCAGGGCTTTCGCTAGCTTTAGTCCACAAGGGGAGAAGGAGGGCTGCTTCGATCTCATCTGAAAATTGGCTAACAAAGAGCCAAAAAACTAGATGCCAAAAAACTTTTATTTTTAAAATGAAATTGTCCCCCAAAGGGAGTGAGTGTTACCCCCCCCCCCCCTACAGCACCGTAGAAGCGGCACTACTAAAAGGAAATTTAAAGAGACAGAAGAATCAGATTGAACAGAGAATCAGATAGGAATCAGATTGAATCAGATAGGAATCAGATTGAAATCAAATAGGAATCAGATTGGACAAAGAAAGTTGGAATATTTTCGTGTCTCTGGAAGTCTGTATCATTTTGCTTTTGGAACAGAACAATTCCAAGCATAACCTTCTCTCTTGTTACAGTTATAAAGAAAAACAACAAAGCAGACCTATCGGTAGGAAACATTTTCCTTGCAAAAATCAGGTTTGCCCTGCGAGACGGCTCTTTTTTGTGGTTGTGGTAGGGGGATGAACCATTTCCATACCCCCCTCAAGTGACGTCCCTGCTTATAGTTTTCAAATCATATTTATGTTTTAATACTACACAATTTCACGCCAAACAGGGGCATGTGGCTAGAGAGCTCTAATTAGTTTTTTCCATTTTTCCTACAGCTTTCATTATGTGACAGTTACTGTTATGAAATATATATGTAACTATCCTGTTTATGAATCATCTTTAATTTAGCAGTAGCTTTATATTTTTCGACGCAATTGTGTTGGAAATATTTTTCATTTCCTCTTGTTATTCTAAATTGTAAATGACCGCCCCGGTGATTGAGCAGGGGAAGATTTCAGTTATAGTTGCCCTAATTTTTACACAAAATTCTATAATTTTTTCATTAATACTCAGCTTGCTCTATCCCGAGTGTAGTCATTCATCGTATCTGAGTTGTAAAGTGGATATTGTTATAAAGTATAGTTATGTGATATGTCTGTATTGGAATTGAATTTGTTTATAAAAAAATTTTTTCGATGCTAAATAATATGTAACAAATTGCTGTGAAATGAAATATTTGAAATTGAATTTGAATTTGAAGGTCCCGCGCCACTGACACGAGACCCTCTCTAGGCGCAATTGTGGAAAAAATTTTACTGACGCGCTGTTTTACTCATAGATTTTGGTTCTATCTAAAATATTTTGAGCTAATTTTAATCTTTAATTTAACAAACAAGTAAGGAGACTATGGCCATGGCCTCTCTGTTCACCTCTGTGGCCCGGGCCCTGATATGAACAGACGATTCTGCCGGTGACGACTTACCACTTGGTTGTTTCGACAGAGCTAAAGCAAGAGGCATAGGAAAAGCTACAAAGAATGCAGGAGAATAAGCTGAAAGAACTAACGGAATCACCAACAGCAACACCAGTCAGGCTGGAGAGGGGGCGCAGGATCAACAGCCCCTGTTGCCTTTTGATAGGAGGGGCAAAGGGGGTCAAAGTGTCCTCTTAAGAATAACAAGACCATAAGAATTAAAAGTTGTTGTTTATCGCTACCGTGTATATCGGCACGAATTACACTACCAAATATCATAGCAACTGTGTGGGGTCTTAAGAAGATACTAAAGAGGGTCTGGGCCCCAATACCCAGCATGTATAACTGGGTTTATATGGATAAACCTTTTTAGATATGAATATTATAGACATGCTTTGGTCGTGGACAGCTCCAGTGGCGAAGCCAAAAAAATTTGCTCACATTCTATTAACAAAGCAACACAATCTTAATCTAATCTTAATCTAATCAACAAATCAATACACAACCAACAAAATCTTAATCTAAACTTACAAACTTTACTAACTGTACATTAATTTTTTCTGCGTAATTTTGAAGGCTTATGGTTACAAGCATTGTCTAATTATAAGGTCCTTTGTCTAAAAATCTTTACAAAATAGTTACTAGGTAAAATGGTAGACAAAAACGAATATTTTTATCCAAGCTCTTTAAAAACACGCAAGTTATTTATAAATAAGGAATGCTATCATTGCTATAGCTGGTTTAATTTAGTGATACGAAATTTTGATCTTACAATAATTACAATTAAAACTGCAATTCTTACAGCCACATAAATGATGATCATAAAATATCTTTCTTCTTAGGTGTACCGACGACTTTTGGACTCTGTAAAGGCGGGTATCTGCTTGATACAATGCAAGATGAATACGGAGGAGGAGCCATAGGGTAGGTACTGTTTGGTACGATGGCTTTTGGGTATTCAGGCGGTGGTATTCTGTTGATATTTGGTGTTGCAATTACTGCTTGCGGAGGAAAAGGTGCCAGCCCGTTTGAAGGATAAGGGACATTCCCTTCATTGAAAACGGCAGACGATTGTGACATAGGCTGCTGCCATGGCTCTGTTCCCTGCATGAAGGTATCACTATTGGCTGAGGTATTGGCGGCGGTGTATGTTACAGAAGGCAGTGTCTGGTAATGGCCTTCTTGTGTGGCTGTAGAGGCTCTGCCAGAACGAGGCGATTTCTTGCAGTAACAAATTATAACAAAGAATACTGTTGCTAGGAAGGTTACAACACCAAATGCTCCACCGATGTAGCTTCCAATGTTGCTAGCACTTTTAGAGGAAGACACTTCACAAAAAAAAAGAATTGCATTATGAGACTTGTTTTATTTTTTAGCAAAAATGGATTGATAGTAGCTTTTACGTGTTACCTTTTGGGTATAAGAACTTTAAGGACGAAGGTGCAATCCACTTAAAAGCAACCCAGCTATGCAGAGGTATAATTGCAAAAATTTCAAGAAAAAACCCAAGGCCAACACAGAAAGATTCAAATTTCATTCATTTCACGACAATTTACTCGTAAGATGTTCTTTGTCGAAGAAGTTGCATACTTTTTGCAATAAAAACTCCATTCTAATTTTTTGCGCACAGTTTTTTGAAAATAGACGTTACATGCCACACTAAACATCAAAAGAACTGCAAGCACCAAATTAGTGCTGTGAACAAATATATTTCCATAGGAAAAGCTCACAATTCTATTTGGTAAATATATTCTATAAATTTATGCAGATATTCTTACTCAAATTGAATGCCTAATGAGAACATTATTATTCAAAGTACAAATTCATGAACATAAAAAACAACTGAAAAAAATCAGAAAGAATTTATAAAAGTTACCTGCTGGCAAACAGCTAACTCCGTTTCCAATGAATCCACTTTTGCAAGCGCATCTGTATGATCCGATCGTATTCGTGCATGTAGCATCTTTATCGCATCTATGGGTTCCCAGCGTACACTCATTCACATCTAAAATTGGAAATTAAATTGCATAACCAACAAACAAGAATTAGTTGAATGATTTAGGAAATTTCGCAATTTTGCCAAGACAGAAAAAGAAAAACCGTATTTTTGTCTTTTTAAGATGTTTTTGTACATTTCTGGCTAACTCTTTTAGTAAAAGACATTAGGTATGTTTCGAGATGAATTGTTAAAAGTTGAAATGTGAAAAACAGGAAGTTTAGGAAGAAAAATTAAATGGAAAACTCTTTGATATCGGAAACTCTACAAATTTGTCTAATTTGGAATAAAATCTGTTGGTCAAAACCGTAAAAAGATTACTGAAGGGGTTCTTAATGTTCATATATATATACTACCCATATCTTTAATATACCAACGACAACGAGATTTTTTACATTATATTTGTTTACATCAATAGTCATTAAGTTGTGTAAAAATATTTTTTAGACCAGAGACTAAGAAGCATGACATGAATAACCATCTTTATAAATACAAATGCAATATTTTCCTCCATTCCACAATCTTTTTGAAATATCTAGTTGAACATTTAAATTTCAAAAATGCTATGACTGTGGTTTTGTGTTGAAAGAAATGTTTTCAAATATGATCGAATTTCAGCTTAAAAAATTGTTCATTTGGTTGTGTAAAATGTACTATCGCCGTAAAACATTATATGTGCAAGGAGTTCCTAGGATTCTGGTATCCCCGTTTTCAATGCAGAATTAAAAGGAATCAATGTATTCGTAATAGCATGTATGTTACCAATTCTACTGCAAAAAGATCCAGTCCCTGTGTACCCGGTTTTGCAAGTGCATCGGTATGAGACACGCGTATTGGTACAAAAGGCATTAGAACTACAGTGATGGAGTCCACGAGCACATTCATCTAATTCTGAAAAAATTCAAAGTTTTTCATATTATTCTCAATAAATTATCTATAATTACTATAATCAATAAATTATCAATTAATGAAAATCTAGAATTTATTTTGACATTAATTTATTTTCTTATTTTTACACAAATTTCTTACAATCTTTTGGTGATACAAAACTTGTAAATGGCTTTGAAAAAAGCAAACATTTAGTAAACTAAAGCTTTTCGTCTGACATTCTTCAGAGTTTAAAACGTCAGAACATAGATCGGTCCGAAGTAACAACAAAAAATAACAAAATCCAGCACCCTGGGACCAACCCCTATTCCCTTTTCAAAACATTCTCAGGAATTGTAGATGAAGTGCTTATACAAAACTAAGTTTGCAGTTTTTAGAAAACTTAGAACTACCGGTACATAAATACCGTAACTCCTCAAATTGCCCCCCCCCCTCGAATAAGCCCTTACCCTAAAACTAAAAGTTGTCAATAAGCCCCCCCCCCTCGAATAGGTCCCCACTGCTACCGAATATTCTCGAAATGGACCCCTAAATTTGAAGATTTTTGCCATTTGAGGTTGCCGTTGCCTATGGCTTTTTATTGAATTACCACAACAAATTCATCCTTTTGGTAGTAATTAATTAAATGCTCATAAAGAAATTCCTGTTAAGAGAAAGAAATTCGAGGTCTTTTAATAATGTCTTCTTGATGTCTACAATAATTTTATAAGCCCTCCCCTACATACAAATTGAAAAACAAAATGTAACCCTTGAAAATTTTGAATCTGGGCTTTATCTCTATTTTTACAGCATATGAAACTTTATGACTTTCATGCAGGTTTATCGAAATAAATGACCGTCCTGAGAAATGCTCCTTACCATCTTCTCTGTAAGCAATGTAGCCAACCATGATGCCACGATACCCAGTGCTTGGCTGTGGTCTGTTAAAGTACAAGTAAACGTAATTGTTTTTTGCAGTATAAATAGTTGGAGTATTGGTTCCGCAGATCCTCCCGCTTACTGCCGTTGCACCCGATAGAAATTGCGATAAAGTTGTGAAGCGGCGGGATGATGCTACAAAAAAAAGTTTAGCATCATTAACGAGAGATCAGAACAGCTAGAAGAGAGAACCAGTGTATAAAATTTGCTAAACACAGAGAACTGTAATGCGATTATCTTTTAACTGATAACGACCAGCTCAGCCGCTTGGTTTTGCTACCATAAACGTATATTCATTTCAATCTTTTTTGTATGAATCTAACACATGACCTATTTTATATGATTTATATGCTCTAGAAAAGTTGAATCAAAGCCATCACCAAGTCAATTGACATTTGACAAAATTTAAGGCTACAAAATGCTTCTCATAACGTTCTTTGATATTCTTAGGGTTAAAGAGAAAATAGCAAATACAAGAAAAGGCGAGGGGAAACTTTTCGTTGCGCTGGATTCAGTGCAACGGTGGTGGCAAGAACTGTCTTACTCTGTACACCAAAAAGCCCAATTTTTAGAAAAATTAACTGGGTTTCATGGTAAAATGCTGTAATACGTGTGTTCTCACTACGCCGCAACTGCACCAAATTGACTATCATGCCACCTGTACAGGGAAGTCATTCTTACGACGATTATCCGAGCGCTGGAAAAGGGCCACTTTGTTTAAGATCATCGGACAATTTTATGAACGGAATCAAAATCGTTACTTTGGGCATGGGCACAATCAAAGTAAAAAATAGAGAAAATCTCTTGCTGCGTGTCATATTGCAGGGCAGGTTACAAACTGAATAGGTTTTTTTATCACAGGAAACATTAATGTTAGCCTTGAACTCAAAGAGGAACTCTGTCTAGTTTCATAGAGAAACTCTGTCCAGTTTAAAGATAATATTGTAAAAAGTTTGAGGAAAAAGCAAAATGAAGAGACATATAAAGACAGAGTTACCGCTGCTTTTCAAACATTCTGTAAACAAAAACACACTGCTCTCATCAGAAAGTATCAAACAGGCAACTGAATGAAAAGAATTCAAAGTGTACATGAAACTAGGTATAGAATGAAAACTGTTCGATAGGGCAGCGATCAAATTTCTCGTACCTCTGATCTGAAACTGAGAGTCAGTTGTGTTACAGTAAGGCAGTGGTCTTTTGTACAATGAAACGTCCATCACAGCAACTCGTAACGTATTTGCGCCAACGTAATAAGTTCTTAAACATGGGGTGCTGCTTGCGTAGTAACCGTATGGCCAGCCAGAAGAGTAGAAGATTGCTGCTGCAGAAGCATCGCTATAACTTTAAAAGCAAAACAAGGAATCTTTTTCAACGACAAGAAATATATCTTGACATTCTTGACATGAAATCTAAACACATGAAAATAGACCAAAATGCTGAATTTATCGTAAATATTTATCAAATCGATCGTGTTGCACGAAGAATAATTTTAGTCGCGATTTTTTAGTTGATGACTTGAACTCAGACCAAGTTTAGCTTCTGATAATGAAAATGGTCGTAGAATTTTTAGACTGCCGGACTTTTAAAAATATTTGCGTCGATCCGACATTTCCTGGAAAAGTGCTGGGCAAAAATTTTTTTATGCTATCTTTTCGTTATTCCTTTGTATAATTCTGTAGAGATTTGAATGAAACATAATTCTTGAATATATGAATTGCAATTTGAAACAAAGTATGACAAACAAGGAACGAAGGAAAGGTAAACCAACTAGCATGAACTGTCGGCATTAGAACCCAAACCAAATCCTGACTTGCTTTTTAACTGGTATGTCAATGAAAACCCTGGCCGTGTAATCCAACTGTCTGATTCAAAGACGATTTTTGCGTATCCATCATGGGAGTACATGTCGAATGGCCTATTCGCAACCATATTATCAGAACAGTACTTCCCAATGCTTTTGTACGCGCTGAAATAAATAACAGAATTTTGAAAATTTCAACGTTCGACATTAATATTATTCATTATTGTTATTCAGTTTAAATGCTTTTGTTAGTTTGGAATCAACAGTTTTTACTTCTTGTAGCAATCAGTAAACTATCCATTGGACTTGAGCATATAAACTTCATGTCGGTATATAAATAGTGTATAAAAGTGCTGCATAGTTTTGGCAATGAGTATTGGCGATAGCCTTGTAGACATCCTGGTGAATAAAACATCCTGCGAAGCTTAGAGATCATTTTTTACTTTAAAAACTAATCAAGGAAAATTGCAAATTACAGGTGAAATATCTAGTTATAAAATGCTTAAAAAAATTTCTTCTTAAAAGGTAAAGATATCTATTACTTATTGCACAGTTTTGAAGCTTTTAAACCTTTTTTGGGCATGATAAAGTTTAATCATAAATATATATGGTGATATATGGTGTACATTTTTAGTCCGTTTACTTTAGCTCTGATGAAGCCCCGTAAGCCGGGGCAAAATATTAGTCTTGACTGATTTACGTGTTTTTATTGTTGTTCATTCTCATCGCATTGCGGTGTTTCTTATTTGCTACATTTGATCGATTTTTTTAGCCGCAAGTATTCTATCGGAGTCCGTCGAGTAGCCTGATATCGTGGTTTTTTTCTTCACACATATATATGTATAACAGGTTCTGTTAGAAAAGACATGATAGAAATAAAATGTTTTGGCAAGTTAACATTTCTGTGTTGGAGAACTAGAATAATTATTGTTGGTTTTGTAGTTTGTGGAGAAGGACATCGAGTTTATGACGAAATTTTGATGTCATTGAGAAACTCTAGTGTACCAGTTTAACGAAAAAACCTTGCTATTTTGCTTATGCAATTTGTATCTTTTCTCTCCTGAAGGACATTGCAAATTGCTCGAAAAGATAGAGATAAAGGTTTGCGGCATACTCTAACGATTGAATTGTGTTGCAACATTTCGCCAAGTGGTCTCCACCTTTTGGCTCGCTATTGGACTGAATTAGCTGACCAATACATTATCCCTATAAGCTCGAAACTGCCAAATTCATGTTGAAATTAACCAAGAAAATTATAGTGCTTTTCTGCAAACTGAACCTGTCAAAACTTAAAAATTACATCAGTATGATACAAGACAGTCTTCTAATCTTGTTTTTAACAAACTTTAAAAATTTTCTTAATCTTTTTTAGAGTTAAGCTTTAGAACTGATTGCCAGGCGAATTTGAAAATACTCGTTACAAAAACCCGCTAAAAGGATGATGAAAATTTACCTCTAACAAAACTTGAAACCTAAAAACTTGAAACACACGTCTACCCCTCCCCCTTTAATTCTATTTTTCTCCACATTTATCTTGGTTTCTTAAAAACTTTTGTTATACTTCTTTTATCAATAAACTTTACTGTTCTGTCTTACTGTGCTGTTCAATTCAAACTTAAATATATATATACATAACCTTAATAAGTACGTCGAACAGAGCACATGCCTCGAGAGCTCATCGTGAGTTTTTCATTTGTCCTTAGGCATAATAAAAACCATTCGACGTTTTTAGATTTACTTATTGTTCTAATTTTTGAAATTTCCAGAAATTGTATTTTATGTCAGCATATTGTAATTATTATTTGTATTTGCTTTAAAAGATTTTCGGTTCAATAGCAGTGAGAAAAATGAAAACTTTGGAGACCATAACATAAAGTTAGCATCTACGAGTTAAAATTCATTAAGATCTTTCACGTCTGTGCAGAAAGGAATATTTTGCAGATATTCCTATGATATAATCCATGTTTTGTGTCTTTGCAAGTGTCAATATTGTTTAGAGATGATACAAACCTTGATAGATTTTTCAGCTTGAATCTTTGGTGTAAGGACCCTCAAAGTAAACCTTTCGGTCTTAATCTCACGAAAAAGCGGTAGTATCGGTCGGCTTTTTCACGCAATTTTAAGCCTTGCAGTACTAAAGAATTATATAACCATTGTCTTTCAAGTGCTATAGACACCCATAAAAGAATGCAGTTAAAATGATTTCCCGAGCAACAAGAGAAAGTTTTTGGTAAAAAAGCAATCTTTGCATATGCTTCTGGCGCACGATATCACTTAGTTTACAATAGCATTTTATCATTTGCATATGTCTCTTTTGCAAAGTTTGAGATTAAATATCAACATGAAATCTTCACAACAACTTAACGTGGTTGATCATTTGCTACTATGTCGTCAGGAACATTGATCTCAAAAAAAGACTTTCCACACTCATAAGTCAAGACACGTTTATTGACCCAATTAGAATCAGATGGGAAATAGATTGCGTAATAGATGGTTAACCGATTTAGTCATGCCTATAAAAAAAATTGGGGGCCCTGCTGCAAACCGATGAGATGGGAATCAATTTTAAAGAAGTCTTTTGCAAGTAAATGGAACTTACTTGGCTCTGAGAAATTTTTACGAAAAAATAACAAAACAAAAATTTTTCCAGTCTGGCCCATTTTACTGTTGGTATTCGCCACTTTGCCAACAGGAAACTCCAACGTTACCAATTTTTCTCTTCTTAAAGTCAATTTCAAAAGTTTAGGACCACATCCCAAAAAACCTCACCAAAATATCACCCTCCCCCCCCACACTTTCTCATTGAACTTAGACAAAATAAAAATTTATCCTGCCAATAACTGGAGTTACGTGTCTCTTCTAATGTCCCTTGTGCCGCTGCTGTTGCCAACAGTTACCTAGCGTAAGGAAGGCAGTCAGGCTTCTAGAGAAGCATCAGTAGAAAAGCATAAACATCAGCATTAATAAAATCCACGGTACGTTTCTGTTGCAGAGCATGCTTCCAGACTTGTTTTCGGGAAATAACGCAAGTAGAGCTTTTAATTACTGCATTTTCTGAAATCCCTTCTATTTTACACCCTTTTTGTCGACAATTCTGAAAATTTGCCGATGAGCCAACCCTAGATGGTAAAATCCCATCATTTTTTCAATGAAATTTTTTCAAAGGTGGGCGTCACACGGCCCCTACTACCCCCACTCCATCACCCCTCCCATAGCCTCAACCCAGATTCTGTGCCCCCGACCCTGTGGAGAATATAGGCTTTTGCCATAGAAATGGCTATTGCGGACTATTGAGGAAAAAACAAAATGGTAACTCATACCTCGTGAGGAAAACTTCGACAAAATCATAACAATTTGGAATTTTCCCTTCAATGTCAAACGATATCCACTTGATCTCCAAGTAGAAACCGTATGATAAGAACGTTCTGGAAGGTCGGATGTAGAATGTACAGTTCTCGTTATTCGAGTAATTCAACATCGACAGTGTTCGCATGGACGTTGTCGCATTATTAGTGGAACAATTGCACACTCCGCTGGCATTTTTTATGAAAATCGCCAAGACATGCCACAAAAGTACGACGCTCAAATTCATTTTCTCTGTGTCTTCGAACATATGTTTAAATGCATGCAATTTTTTTGAAATTTCCATTTGAAAGATTTGCAAAAATAGAAATATCTTAACACTCAACTTGGGCAGAAGCTTCTAGTGAATAAACATGAGAGTTGGCATGTATCCCTTGATAAACTCTAAAACCGGGAACGAAGAATCGGGAAATCGAGGAATCGCGGAATCGGGGAATCGTGGAAGCGGAGAATCGGGTATTTGGGGAATCGGCGAACCGGGGAATATCACAATTAATAAGCCAATTTATCAGTTAAATTCCTTTTTCGAAAGTTATTTGCTTAAATACTACATTTAAAGAACATAATGCACTTACAGTGTTGTATATACAGAACAATACAGTGTCGTATATACAGGCAAGTCGTGCTATCCCAAACTGGCAGGGGAAATGAAAATTTGTTCGACATAGCAGGATATTGAGATATACAGACTCCGATTTTTTTTAGATCAAAAAGGGGTCAAATGTGTTTAATGGTAGATTATGAACCAAGGAAATTAGCTCATTTATCTCTAAAGCTTTGTTAAACATCAAACTGGACTGAAATTGTTTATTAGTAAAGTTTGCTATATATTTTGGAGTGCTTCTTCATGGCAAAATGGCAAACGACAATGGTTTTGTTTCTATTGCTTGTGTCAGAGTAGCAGTAACAGAAGAAATACCCATTATAAACACAACTGAATTTGAAACGATTTCTTTTATCCAAGACCACGCAAATAAGTAGCCCACTTCATGTAAACAGGTCCTTAGGCTCAAAATATCAAGAATACCGTGAAAGCTGTATTAAGCCCCCTTCCCAATTGAGCACCTCTTTATCAAGCAATTAATTTAGGTAAGCCCCCCGCTCTATTAATGGGAGGGGGGTCTTTGAGGTTGACAGTAAATGCGGTATTTGCCATTTTCTGTCGGTAATTCGGTAATTTTCCTCAAATCGTCGTTTTTTGTTGTATCCATGTTACAACCTTCGCGATAATTTGCCCATTAATAAATCCTGATTTTCTTTTATTCTCTCCTCTTTAAGGCAGCCTTTCCACTAGCCCGGGTTAAAACAAAAACGGTTCTACGTCGCGTTATAAGTTATCCGATTCTATGTCGCGTTCCCACTAACTCACTTGAATAACGGATAAGTTTGACAACGGGTCTCAGAGTCGGTCAGTTTTTTCCCGGGTATTTTTTGACCCACCTGCCAGTTAATGGGAATGCCGAAATCCGGATAACTTCTGACCCACTTGCAAAAACAGCTCCGTTGTCCAAATGTCACCAAGCACCGTTGAGCGTTGTGAAAAGTAGATGGTCTTAAAAAAGTGAAGGGAAGGGGGGCTAAAACAGAAGAAAAAGTAGTTTGGCTGGTAATTCATTGGTTATATTTGGCATTTTTGTCAAAAAATAGGAAGCGGGTAGGGGGCTAAAGCCATCAGGCACTACGGAGCGTTGTAAAAAGTGGCTGTTCTAAAAATGTTAAATAAAACGAAAACGAAATAAAAAGAGACTGGACTAGTGCTTCATTGTTTTTTTTGCATTTTTTATAACGCTTCCCCTATCACGCGGTGCCTGGTCATATACGACATGTCATATATAAAAGTAAACAAAATTTCAGGTGGAGACACTTTGGAAAGGTGCCCAATTCTGTCAATGGTAACTTAATTCGAAATATCTATTGTGTAAGGATGGTTCATATTTTCGCAATTTTGATTTCGAAAACATCACAATATTTTTAAAATACACCCGTGTAGAGCTTTTGTAATAGAGAAAGGTTGTGGTGTCTTATATATGTATATAAAGGAGTGCCAAACTTAGATTTGCTCAGCCTTAACCCCTTTTTCTTTACGCTGGTGCTGCTAACTGCTAACTACTTTTGTATAAAGCCTTAACACCTTTGTATAAAGAAACTTTTGATTTTCAGGTATATGTCATTATAAGCGTTAACATTGTCTTGAGAAGGAATCAAATAACCGAAATCTATTTCTAATTTGAAAGTGAAAATATATTTGGTATGTTTCAGGTTCCTTTTCTAGACTCTTGAGTCTAAAGTTTGCTCCGACAAATGGTGTTACGTCATGAATGGAAGAAGTCATCTTCGTGTTCCACAAGGATCTCTATTGGGCTTTTTTTATCAAAATTTTGTCCAAAAAGCTGTCAGGTAAACTGGCAAGGCGATGTTATATCCATCTCTTCTTCAACAAAAAATTATCAGCGACTTGAACATGGCGCTAAGAAAGCACTTTTTCTTTGCGAAAATTCTGTAAACTTCTGTTCAATCTTAACAAAATCCATCCGACTTTTTTTGGCATATTTTTAGTTTACTGTCACTGTCAAAGCACAGAGGAAGATAAAGACTTATGTAAGTATAAGGCTAAATCGACTTTGTAAAGCTTTATTTCTATTGATCTTTAAAATTATTATGTATTTGATTAGGCTTTGATACTTGAAGAAAAATATGAAGTAAATGCTTGAATATTCTATATTTCTTAGTTTTAGCATGGAATTAGGTTAGCATTTCTAGAAAAATATTTCAATTTCCTCTACAGTTGTTTTTAACATTTTGCTTAGCAGTACTGAAGTTTTACTAAACAATTTTGCCGCTTACACAACAAATGTTGTTGAAAATATGCGCATTTAATGGGTCTCTTGACGTGTGTGATGATTGTAAGATCGTGTGCATTAAATAGGGCCCATAGCAAGACTCACTTGTGCGCCTTAGAAGTTAGTTAAAATTTGTTTAGAAGATGTCCATGGGTTATCAATCGATCCTGGTGGAAACTTTCAATATTTTGTTGAGAACATTTATATGGCATCTCATGACAAAATATGCACAATGGCGTTTTAAAGAATTGTTTGCTTCAAATTTTTAATAAGCTCCTCTCTCCAATAAGCCTGCTTCTCTATTAAGCCATCCTCAACCCACCCCCCCCCCTCCCCCGCGGTTTACTTCTTTGAGAGCATCACTTAGCTTCTTTTGAGTCAATAATTAAACAAAAAGCAATTTTTGTCGCAGGAACCTAAACTTTCTTACTAACAATAACTTAACTAAAATAAAATGATAACTTTTCCGTTTCTTCTACGAAAATATACACACAAAATTGATAAAACAGGAAGAGTCGCTTCTTCTTGCAAAAATCTATGGATGCAACAAGGATACGAAGCTTGCCTCTGTCTTCTTTCTGACAAGATCAGATATGGTGACTTGCACCAGTCAAGACAGTGCAGTGAGATGCGTTACTGTCATTTCATGTTTATGGTTGAATAGGGAGATTCCTTGACTGTAGGCGACCATTCATTGACTAATTCCTGGCAAAATAAAATTTGAGGGGCAAATCACTGCTTAAAATCACGTACGCTCTCGAAAATAATCACACTTTAATCACAAATTTATCACATTAATCACAAAAAATCACATTAATCGCGTAAATATCATATAAATCGCAAAAAATCACCAGTCACATTGAGCACAAATATTTTAATCTTTGGTCATGTTTGTTCGCCTATGTTGTTGAAAAAAATTAAATGTCCCTTTCAAGAATTTCCACATTTTTATGAACATGTTCAAAAAATCTGTCAACACACTCGAACACATGAGCAAAAATGAAGACCTCGTTCTCGTGCCGGGGTCGATGAAACAAGATGAAATATCATTTTGCTACCGATTTTTTAGGTTTCCAGGTACGTACCATTATAATATTGAGGAGCACTTTGGTCTAAAATCGCGTCGGAAAATTGCTAAAGTGACGAAATTTTCCCTGAAACCAGATAAAACTCAGCAAGCAACAAATAAACGGTATCAAATAAACAGATGTTGGTCTTTGTTTTCAAATTATTTGCGATTTTATGCAATAATTCTACGATTTTATACTGAATTTTGAAAATCACTCAATTTTCGAAAGTTGTGTGTTGCGGTCTGTTAAAGGCAGTATGTCTCCTATTGTTCTTACCATCTCTGTGCTGTGCTGGCCAGTGGCATAAAAGAGGACAATGTAAGCAGAAGAAGGAGGCAGAAGTTGAATTGCAGCCTGAATCGGTAAAGGCATATGCAAGTTCAGAATACCCTTTCGAGGTAGGGATTGGAAAGATGTAATGTCAAATGATGACTAGATAAAATTATTTGTGTCGAACGTTACCCGGAGGATAAAGATGTAGAATATTCAGAACGAGGTTCGGGAGAGAAAGCGTATCAGATTCACCGCCTATTGAACGCTTTCGAGTAGAATAGACCCTCTTTCCGTTTTTCTCTGTTTGTGTGTGCTATGAATTGAAACCCTTGAAGAAAAAGCTAAACTCCAGCTTTAGCAGAAAATTCCCCGAACAAAGTAAGCAGGAAATCTGGCAAACACGCTCCTGTAAATTAAACAAACTGCACAATGACTTCATGCGGTCATTTTGTAGGGATATATGAGCCCTGTTAATGCCACTCTCCGTCTTATTTCACTTAGTCCTTGGTTTCAAAGATGTATGACGTCATGTACGTTAGCTGAATATGATGTATGACGTCATGTACTTTAGCTGAGTATACTAGTGCCAACCGGATTCACCCGTTTACACGAGCTGGAATGTTGTACGGGACATATCGGATTGATGTGGAGCCGTGTAAACGCAACCCCTATCCGTTATAAAAAGTAATCGGACATGTGAGTAATCCGGTATTGTGTAAACGCAGTCTAAATGGCAAAATATTGGCAGCCCCCATTTCCCTGAGAACAATAAGCGTAACAGCCGTGCTACCACTATACCTACTCATTCTTCGTACATAAAAAAGAGATTATTCATGCTACAATTCTATTGAAAAAGGACCCTATTAATGGCAGTCTGTCCCCTCAATGATTGGCTAATATGAACAATAGGTTTTCCGACATTGACGGATTTTGTTGCTTGCTTTGGCTGGCCTAGCTGCGGTAGTGGACGAAATTTGAAACTTTGAAACTGGTTCAAATCGTTAAATAAACGGTCAAGCTCAACGGTGCGTGAATTTCACTCACGTGAAAAATTAAGTTTAGCACAATAGGGGACAGACTGCCTTTAAGAAAGAACTAAATACCCTCTAAACTTCAAACAAAAATTTTGCTTTTATGTTGTTATAGGACGTCACTTACTTCACCTTTTCATCGCCGTTTGTCATCTTACCAGTCACTGACACAGCTTTTGGGTCGGAAGGGTTTTTGGCGTAAGGTATCCGCGCAAATATACGATAAACCGACGGCTCAAAAAATTGCAATCCGAATGACCGGAAATTTGGGTCAAATGAAAGTGCATCGTATTTTTCGCAGAAATCTACTGTTTCTTGGTAGTGTGGATTGGTCTTATGAATGTCTCTAGCGTTTTTATCACCCCCAACATGGTGATAGTAGTAGAAACCTTGGAAGACTTCATGGTTGGCCAAAATCCAATACCATTTCTCTGAGATGTATGGTTTCAGAATTGCTGCAGGGATTTCTCCGTGATTACTTGGCGATAGTAACTCGCCGATATCATGAAGAAGGCAACACACAACACCTTCCTCATCCTCGCCATTGTGATAAGCTCTTGTCGCCGTTTGCAAAGCATGCTCGTAAAGGTCCACTTTAGCACTACCAAAAATTCCGCGTTGATCCAGCAACATCCCAAGAGCTCTTTTTGTCATCTCGCTTGGGCTGCATAGAACTTTGTAACTTTCAGCCATCAAAATAAAGTCTTCCCTCGAACCATCTTGAAGTTTATCAAAAGATACCATAGCCATTTTGCCAGATGCTCAAATATAACGACACAAAAAATCCGTTGAAAAATCTTCCTGTTACGACACACGGTTCCCTTACGGACAATATCACGTGACAATTGCATCATTGTGCTGTAGTGGCATCAGCGTCTGTAGCATGATTAAGTGAAATTTAATCACGTTTAATATATGACAAGGTACGCCTTTCAGGTGCCCCTTGGGCTTTTGTTTCTTGGGCACAGATTGCACAATTGTGGAGTTTGGGTTTATTGTAGCAGTGCTCGAGTAAGCTTTACATTGTGTTTATTATACGGCTAAAGCAACAAGCGTGAGAGTGTGCATTGGCCTTGTTGGGTATATAAACTTTGTCTTAGCACAGTTTCATTCTCACACGTTGCACGACACCTTGAAGTTGGACTTTGGAGGGGAAAGGGTTTTACTTTGCGAAACCTCGATGCAAGTAGGCTATCTTATTTTTTTTACTTGACGTCTCGATGAGAGCTAGCTATGAGCTGAACCAAACGGTGACTCGCCAGGTATGCGCTCCTCTACAGATTAATCAGGTATGTTTTGAGCCATTTCATATAATGCTTTGGTGTTTTGGCAATTTCTCCTGGTATAAGTTCGAGTTGGATCCTTCTAGTTCCGTAATCATTTCGCCACCAGGTTTGTTGGGTAGCAATTATTAACGGCTCTTTAGCAACACTGTTTTATATATTGCCAACATGGCTAAATAAGGCAATAAGGTTTAATTCTTTGTAATTTGCGTGACTTGGACCGTGTCTTTTGCCCTTAAGTAGCCGTTATATTTCTTTTCAACTGTTGCTCGCTTTTAAGCCAACAGCATCTGAAGTTTTGTTTTATTGGTGGTGTTGATGCTTAGAAATTCCAAGGTATTTCAAAGTTTAGATGGATTCTGAATTAGGCCAGGATGCAAGACCATTTTAGCTTCTAAGGTTTCTATATGTTTGCCTCTCATTCACTGGAACGATATAGGGGTTCTAGCCTTAGGTGGGGTACATTAGCACGGAGATTTGTTTTTACTTTAATTTTGTGAGCAAAGTTGTTTCGTAAAGCGCCTTTGAATAGACAATTGGGTACTTAAGCCTTAACACTATAATTGTGTTTTCAACTTCTTTCTTCATGTTATGCTCCTTGGCTAAGAATGCAAACTGAAAGGAATTACAATTTCCAAACTTTTCTCGTTGATGCATTTTCTTGCTGGTACCTGAATATCTTAAAAGTTTTTATTTTACCACGCAGTGATGATAAATTCCATGGTGATAAATCGCAATGGAGCATATACTTGAAGCTTCTGTAACGGTAAAGAAAAAGAAGAATAATATGCTGAATATTGCAAAGAGTATAGACATAATTCCTCCTTCAATTAAGCTCGAGTACCTCATGATGTGAGAATTAATTTCTAACAGTCTGTTAAATTTGTTTGTGTTATTTCCGTAAGAAAATTTTACCTTTTTGGTATTTTTATGGGTAAGATGTTGCTTTTGATCATGATAAAACTTGTCCTTATTTATTTTTGGAAGGGCAGATTGTTTCCTTTATCTAATGCTGCTGTTTTTAGATATGAGATTTATTTCTTTTCACAAATTCAATCTACTTGCCATTGACTTTTCTCCGAAGAGATTTAAGGAAAGCTAAATAGGAAATTTGTTATCTTTTTGATTATTGAATCTACGAATGACTCAGCTTGTTTATGTTGAGCATGAAAGGTAGAATGACTCAGCTTGTTTATGTTGAGCATGAAAGGTAAATTGCTTCGCTCTTATTGAGCAAGTATAATATAAAGCTTTGCTCGCGTTAGCATGTATTGTTCTCGTTGTTTTTGCCTTCGTTGAGCAAGTATAAGAGAAATTGTGTTTACTCGTGTTGAGCAAGTATGTATAAATGTGTTAATAACGTTGACCAACTATGAAGAAATTTTTTTTTGCTCAAATTTTTGTCACGTTTGAGTGAATATTCATGTTAAACTTCGAGGAAATTTTGCTTACGTTGGCACGTGGAATGAATTTGGTGCTCGATTCAAGCAAGTTGGTTTTTATAGCATGTCTGCTCAAGTTTATATGGTAAGCTACTCTCCAGGAATGATGAAAACCCGTAAGAACTTATGAACATGACAGGTGTTGGTCAAAATAATTGAGCCTTCGATATCAAGTAATGATTCTTGTTTTCTTTCGATTGTTGAAAAAAATGACATTGAAAATGAAAATGATATTGAGAACATTTATTTTCAATCATGCCAAATGCTTTAAAGTGGTGTGGTTATACTACATAATTAATCATTGTTTAAATATCAAGCGAGAAATATCACTTTACTAACAGGAAGTAAATTTAGGTGGAATATTTATTTGTCAGGAACAGTGCCTAATTCAAGTCCTTTTTTTCTAACTTTGTGTACCAGCAATACCTTGTGAGTTTGGGTAGCCAACATAGCCATTACCTCTACCTTCCTGGAACTTTTTGATAAAAGCTATGGGAAGTTTTAGCCATTTAAATTCAAATTTGTCATCAGAGATTTATTTAGCTTCCAAGTGTCTTTATTTTGCATGATATTTCTAAATTGTGTTTTTTTAACAACTGTATAAAA